GGTAGATTAGGGATTCAGAATTCTGCTAAGGATCGTCGCCCGATACTTACAAGATTATCTGGAGGGGAAGCTCTCATAGAACAGAGTCAAGGACATGGGATCTCTTCTTCCATGTCAGGGAGACTTCAGGATGTCAATATTCAGTATCTTGGAGAGGAGGGACAGACTGGGTTGCCAATCAATAATGACATCTTGATTGGGTCAAGCTCTGCTCCGCTTCATCCTACACTGGGACACAGGCTATCACTTGGACATGAAGACTCTCAGGGCTCTCAGAGAGTACCGGCTAATAAAAGACTATCTCTTGAACAACCTGCAGTCACCATATCCATTCCGGCTAAGATCCCTAAAACTAGAGCCAATGCAAAAAAGAAAGTCTCTGTGCCAGCTAGTTCTAGAGGCACTCGAAGCCCACTGCAGGGAGCTAGTTCAAAGAAAAGAAATGCTACTAAACCGAGAGTGGTAGCAGCAAGAAAACGACTCTGTCATGATCAAGTCCCTACAGAAGTGGACCCTGTTACAGAGCCTCAACCCTCGCAGCCCTCAGTTAAGCTGATCCCTGCAACAAAAAAGGCCAAGAATAAGGTGGATTTTCAAAACCCACCAAATCCTCTTCCTTAGTGGTAGGAAGCTGGAACTGTCAGGGTATTGGAGGCGACCTTACAGTTCCAAGATTAAAGGAGATCCGCAATGACTTCTCCCCAAATATCTTATTTCTCATGGAAACAAAGAATCAAGATGACGTGGTTCTCAAGCAACTAATCTCTTTAGGCTTTGTTAGTCATTGTATTGTCCCACCACAAGGTCTAAGTGGGGGTCTTGTTCTGTTCTGGAAAGATGAGGTTGTGGTGGAAATTCTGGCCTCCTCACCAAACTTCATTGATACAAAAATCAACTTCCAAAACATCACCTCTTTCATTACTTTTGTGTATGGTGCTCCGCAAGTGGAAGATAGACAACAACTTTGGAATGAAATCTCTGTTTTAGGTGCTGCAAGAGAGTCGGCTTGGCTGCTTATGGGAGATTTCAATGAAATTATGGACAACTCAGAAAAAGTAGGCAGGCCAGCTAGAGCTGAAGGTTCTTTCATACCTTTCAGAAGCTTTGTGTCGCAGAACGGCCTTTGGGAGGTGAATCACTCCGGAAATAGCCTCTCCTGGAGGGGACAGAGGCACTCACATTTTATTTTGTCAAGGTTGGACAGAGTGCTGGCCAATACCTCTTGGTCAGAATTATTTCCCTCGGGACGTTGCAAGTACCTCAGATTTGAGGGCTCGGACCATAGACCGCTTATCACCTTTTTTGACCCTACTAAAGTGAAAGCCAAAGGTGTATTCCGGTTTGATAGAAGCCTAAGAGATAAGGAAGAGATTCACACTCTTATTGCTAATAAGTGGGAGTCCAGGGAGGAGGAGTCTCTGTTTGTTAAGTTTGGTAGATGCCGGAGAAGTTTAATTCAATGGGCTAAGGATCAGCTGGAGACTAAACTACAATGTATTAAAGAGCTTCAAGAGGCCCTGGAAACTGAGCTCTCTTCTCCCACACCAAACAATGAGGAGATCTCTCGAATCACAAGCAATTTAAAGACTGCATATCAAGAGGAGGAAGCAGTATGGCGTCAAAGAAGTAGAATTCAATGGCTTCAAGAAGGAGATCAAAACACAAGTTTTTTCCACGCGGTTACCAGAGGTCGAAAAGCTTTGAATCACTTCTCTGTGATTGAAGATGAAGATGGTACAGAACACTTTGAGAATAAACAAATTGCGGAAACAGTGGCTAGATTCTATGAGAATCTCTTCAAGTCGACCTCTACTAGCAGCTTGCGCATAGTGGAAGAAGCTATCCAACCAAAAATCACTGAAGCGATGAATGCTAAGCTGACCAAAACCCCTGATGATAAGGAGATCCATGAAGCAGTTTTGGATATTCACGCCGATAAAGCCCCAGGCCCGGATGGCTTCTCTGCGGGTTTTTATCATTCTTTCTGGGAGATTATAGGGAAGGATGTGGCTAATGAGGTCAGAAGCTTCTTTGTAAGGGGTGTTCTTCATCTCCGGCATAATGAAACACATGTAAGACTTATCCCTAAGATTCTAGGGCCTAAGAAGGTCTCGGATTTTAGGCCAATTGCATTGTGTAGTGTTCATTATAAGATCATTGCAAAAATTCTCTCTAAGAGACTTCAACCACTTTTAAATCTGCTAATCTCAAAGCACCAATCCGCCTTTGTGCCGGGAAGAGCCATTTCGGATAATGTTCTCATCACTCATGAAGTGTTGCATTTTCTCAAAGTCTCGGGTGCTAAAGTTCATTGTGCAATGGCGGTAAAAACCGATATGAGCAAGGCGTACGACCGCATCGAATGGCCTTTTCTTCATGCGGTTCTTAAGAGATTTGGGTTCCATGATTTGTGGATTCGTTGGGTTTTAGAGTGTGTCTCCTCCGTGAACTACGCTTTCCTTATCAATGGATCCCCCCATGGAAAAGTGCTCCCCTCGCGTGGCCTTCGACAAGGCGACCCGCTCTCACCGTATCTTTTCATCCTATGTACGGAAGTCCTCTCGGGCCTTTGCTTAAATGCTCAAAGAAAAGGTACGCTCCCCGGAGTAAGAGTGGCAAAAAGGAGCCCTTTGATTAACCATCTTCTCTTTGCGGATGACACTATGTTTTTTAGTAAAACTAGTGTCAAAAGTTGTGAGGCTCTCTTGTCTATTCTTATGAGATATGAGGAAGCTTCGGGGCAATGCATAAATGCGGAAAAATCCGGCATCACTTTCTCCTCAAAAACACCTCCGGAGATTAAGGATAGAGTAAAGAAGGCCTTAGGGATTTCAAAAGAAGGAGGAATTGGTAAATATCTTGGCCTTCCCGAGTTCTTTGGGAGAAGGAAAAAGGATATCTTTACTTCCATTGTGGATAAGATTAGACAAAGAGCTTTGTCTTGGACAAATCGGTTTTTGTCGGGAGCCGGGAAACAAGTGCTTCTTAAAGCGGTGTTAGCGGCAATGCCTTCCTACGCCATGTCTTGTTTCAAGCTACCTATGTCTCTTTGTAAGAGAATTCAAACGGCTCTCACTAGGTTTTGGTGGGACGATAATCCGGAAAAGAAAAAGATGTGTTGGATTGCGTGGGAGAAGCTCACCTTGTCTAAAGAAGAGGGAGGTTTGGGCTTTAGGGATATCGCCGCCTTTAATGACTCTCTACTTGCAAAGATTGGTTGGAAGTTGTTACAACAACCGGACGCTCTCTTATCTCAAGTTCTTTTGGGCAAATATTGCCATTCGTCCTCCTTTATGGAGTCAAGTATCCCGTCTAATGCTTCCCATGGTTGGAGAAGTATCATGGAAGGAAGAAAAATATTGGACAAAGGAGTAGGTTGGATAATTGGTAATGGGGAATCAATTAATCTTTGGAAAGATCCATGGCTTTCCACTTTGGAGCCATCACGTCCCTTAGGTCCTCCTCCTTTAGCGAATTTAGAGCTAAAAGTTAAAGATCTCCTTCTACCAAACTCCATGAATTGGAATCTAGAAGCCATAAGGCTTCATGTGCCTCATCATGAGGAAGAAATTCTCAAGATTATTTTGAGTTCTAAACCCAAACCGGATAGATTGAGATGGTTGCCCTTAAAAGGAGGTGCTTACTCATCTAAGTCGGGTTACTCTTTGGGGAAGTCCGTCATCTCTCTGACTAGTGGGGATAGTTTCAAATGGACCACTCATGTATGGAAGATTTGTACTTCACCAAAGTTGAGGATGTTCTTGTGGAAAGCTGCTAGGAATGCGTTACCTTTTGGCAAGGCCCTTTCAACTAGAGGAGTGGTAGCGGATGCAATGTGTAAAAGATGTGGCGCGGTGGAGGACTCGATGCATGTCTTCTTCCACTGTCCTTTTGCGAAGAAAGTGTGGGAGCTAGCCCCAGCTCTAGATTGCTTAGAGGTGCTCTCTGCGACCTCGTTTCATGACGGTTTAGTTAAGGCTAAGAAGTTGGTTACGCTTCCTCCGATTGGTCTTGGCATAGCCCCACTTTTCCCTTGGCTGCTCTGGTTCATGTGGAAGGCAAGGAACCTATTAATCTTCGAAGATAAGTGCTGCTCCGCAGACGATACAATGCAAAAGGCTATCAAAGAGGCTCGGAGTTGGCAATCGGCGAAATTGTTTCAAACAAAAAAGACTCATTCCCGGCGAGACAAGACCACTGAAGCCGCACACTGTGAGGCTTTTTTATGCTACTCGGACGCCTCTTGGCGATCTCCTTCTCAAGATTGTGGTGTGGGATGGATTATCAAGAATCCACAACTTTCGGTGATCCAAAAGGGATCTTCTTCTCGACCCTCTGTTTCCTCTGTTCTTGTAGCAGAGGCACTTGCTTTGAAAGTGGCTATTACGGCGGCTTTAGCTTTGGGTGTTTCTAGGTTGGCCTGCTTCTCGGACTGCAAAGAGCTCACTACTCTTCTCAATTCGAATGGTCAAGCAAATGCAATTGATGGTCTCCTCTCCGATGTTAGAGACCTTTCCTCTGTTTTTGTTTCTTGTACCTTTCATCATGTCCCTCGCTCTCTTAATGAGGAGGCTGACGCTTTGGCCAAGTCGGCTTTGGATTCTAGTTTAGTACCCTCTGTTCCTGAAGTTTAAGTTTAATGATAAGATATGTTTCAAAAAAAAAAAAAAGTAATAGAAATGCTTCTGTGCAGTGTAGTGTAGTAGACTGAGCTCCCACCTTGTATGACTTTGTTAAAGGATAATTGTAGCGGCGCGCATCCAAGGGGTTGACTTTATTCACATGACACACTTATTAAAATCTTTAAATTTTAATTTTGACAGGTATATATTCATTCCATAAACTATTTATTTGGCTCGTTAGGAATTGCTCTAGTTTCTGTGGAAGTTAGAAACAAATTCTTCAATTAATGTTGACCACAAATTAGGAGGTAAAATATATTTGCGTTTTCAAAAAAATGACAAGATGAGTGTATGTATTATTGTAATTAAATCCAAACCTTTCAAAGAAAATTTTCTTATTGATATTCTTATATGGTTGTAATTAAATGTCAGCTGACCATTTCTATTTAGCATCTCTATGAAGGCTAAAAAGGCATATGGTCTTAACGATAAAAAATAGAGAAATTTGACTCTATAACCAAAAAAAATCAATAATTAAGAAACTAGCTCTCGACAAAAAAAAAATGATATTTTATGTATTTTCTGTATATATGACAATTTTGCCCTCACACATTTCTTCCATCTTTTTTTTTTTTTTCTGCTCTCTTTTTTCCAATTTTTGTTTCTTCTACGTTGGCTCCACCATGGTCAGAAACGGAGGCCTCGCAACAATCCAACTCGAACCCTCGATCTCCTCATCACTCTCACCACCACCACTCAGTTTCTATCCCTCCTCCGCTGAAACTTCAATTCCCACCGCCGGAGCTCGCCGTGGACTAGATCCATTTCAGAGATGTCGATGGGGTTGTAAATCACTAGATCCATCTCGGGGATGTCGTTGCTCTTCTTAATTCCAGATTCTGATCATCCTCATCAAAATCCATAAGAAAGAGCCGCATGAGAAGCACGACGGCTTGCTTTTCCTCTCCAAGCATCAGTAGTTGCTTCGCTTCCACTGATCACTTATTATCCCCAAATTCAACAGCCTATGTTTCAATAATTCACCCAATTTAGGGTTTCAACTGTGAGAACTTGATTTTTTTGGTTTCCCTTCTTATTATCGTCTGTTTCAAATCTCCACTCATAATCAGCAGTACTATACTATTTCAATATATTTATTTGAAAACAATATTTAATGCTATTTGATAGTTGTCTTATAAATGTTACGTTTAAGAGATCATACATATATATTATGTATGAGTTTGAGCTATTATGCATGTTTCTGGTTATGCTTTTTGTTGTATAATTTGTTTTTTAGTTTACATACTTCAGGAATTTGCTTGAACATTTAAAGTGTATACTCTATGATAAACGTTTATATAGTATAGTCCGGTTACTTTTTATGCAGCTAAACACTAAAACTGTCTTTTCCATTGCCCCTCCTGCTAGTTTCTTAATTGTTACACTTATGGTGCTATATTCTTAATTGATTTATCAAATATGGCTACTCTTGCAAATCACCCTAAAAAATAATTTGAGTAAATAAGTCAAATTTTATTTTCACTATAAAACATGAATTTTATAAGGGAATAAAAAATATAGAAAACGTTAAATTGTTGATTAAAGAAAAAACAATTTGGAGAACATAGGAGGGATGGACCATGGATGTTATGATTATCTGTCAGAGCAGCAACTCATCGAAAATCATTTCATCTATAACTTTACTAATATATAAATGGACCACGCATTAATATTACATTTAATAAACATGTTTACCTAACATTAACTAAGCAATGTCTTGTTAATTATGATAGCACCAAGCCCCCATATAAATTGTAGTGGTCCTATTAGACAAAATGTCCCCTAATTTGTATGCAATCTTTTAAATTAAATTCATATAATGATCTTTTATTAGTTTTACTTTGCCAACTCTAATCAGTCTCATCTAATTCTAACCCATTTTCCCACCAAGAAGCTTCGATTGTTGTCCACATCCAAAATCACAAGTGCTCTTTTAGTCTTTTTAGAAAGGACTTTATGGTTTGTAATCTCGAGGTAACCTAATCAAAAACAAGTTATTAATAGAAATGTTTAATTAAGCACATGATCAATATATTTAACCTAGATGCTTAAAAAAAGATCAATAGTTTCACCTGGTTAGTTAGTTTGACAGTCATTAAATAAGTCTAATTATTTTGGTAGTTTGTCTTCGTTTTAACATTTGGTAGGCTACCCAAATATCAAATAAAATTGTAAAATGTGTGATACATGTCTCACCTTATTACTTTATCATTAACATGTCATAATGTCACGATGTTGGTTAAAAAAAATATGTCATAATGTTGGTCACTTCAACATGTAAAGTGAAGATTGGAAAATTTGGACAGTTTAACATCTCATTTTTTTGGGGGGATAAGAAAGACAGTTTTATATCTCATTATCACTCACAATTAACAGTTTATTTTTGGATTTTTGTTTTCGCTTTTCAGTGAACAGTCGACAATATCAATTGACTGTGGTTAATGAAATGCATCACGTCGATTTTATGATATTTTTAGAGTATGATATATGATTTAGGTGAGAAATATCAAAATTGTTTAAAAACATATTTCCAAGCCAAGTTTCTAATCTAAACTTAATTATGGTTGTGAGTTATGAACAAGAATTCGGCGATGGCTGTTCTTAGTCAAGCCGTTTATGTATGTGCGTATATATTATGTTTATTAAACAATATCGAGTTCTTCGAGCCCATTACCGAAGACAATTTGCATTAAATCTCTCTCTTTCTTTTACTCTTTATATAAAACAGATCAAAAGCAGATGGTCAAAGCATGATATCACCACTTAGACATTCATCACAAACATGTAGTATATGTTTCGGAATAATATTAAAAACGATATATAGAGAAAGGAAAAGGTAATCATCGAGAATTAATTGGATTTATAAAGGTAATTATTATTCATAAGAGAGAAATTATTTAGAAAAAGGTAAAAGTAAAGAACATTACCTATTATATAATGCGTATATATGAGTACAATGACATGTCGACTGACAGGGAATAAACACGAACTATTGTCTTCTTGTCAAAATTTCTTAATTGGTAAAAGGGACTGAAACGGCAAGAGTTAACGCACGTGGGACCCGTGGCTTAAGTACACAATCGAAGTCTTTGACCGTTGAACTATCTACCACACGTGCGGCCTGCTAAAGTCGTTTGTTTATAAAGATGGCCCACCTCACTATTTCTTTCCCCAGGCTGTGAATAATTAATTCATTTGCATTTTTCTTTTATCAAAGCGTTGGAGCGTTGGAGGTGTCATGTGGTAGTAGTAGTTGTGAGACGTTCTAGGCCCATTACTATGAAAACAGCCCAATACACTTTATAAATGGGCTGAATAGTTTTTGTAGGTTAATCATAGAATTTTAGATCATCATAATAATGTCAATGATTCTTTTAGTTAGCCACAGCTTTTAGCACCAGTACTCTGACTAATTTATATATTGAATATATGTCACTACTCTGTGACTCACGAGCATATTATTTTGTTGATGGTATGTGTCACAAGCACTACTATTTAGACAATCATATGTTGTAACAATTTGAAAATTCTCCATTCCAAAAAAATAAGAGAAGTAGAAGTTGGAAAAGTCCGATGTAATGTGTATCTGGAAAAATATTATAACTTTATAACCTTGTATATAATTTATAAACTTAATATAAAGTTATCGTGTTCATTCATATCTTCATAAAAGCATCATGAATACGTAATGTACCCTAAACTCTCGGATAGCAGATCATTGCCGCCATCATGATATTGATTAAAAGTGTTCAAGTGTTGTTGATCCACTTCAGAGTATTTGGAAAATTCGCCGATGGTCGAGACCGATTTAAGTTCTTCGCTGTAGCCACTAGAGGAGTTGTAGTAGTAACTCGCCGCTGTGGTATCTCCGCCAGCTCCGATGAACGACCTCGTCCCGGTTTCGTTCTGGTGGTAGCACGACGTCATGATATTCTTTAGATCACAGTGTTGCTCCGTTTGATAATCCGAAGTGGTCTGATGATGCTGATGATGGAGATCATGAGATTCTTGAAGATATTGAGGCTTAGTGTCTTGATAATAATTAGGGTTTTCTATGGATGGAGAATCAGTAGCCATCATGCTTTGTTTTGCTTGTTGCTTTAGAATCTCTAGCTGTGTTTGTAAATTCACAACCTACGAATAATACCACCAAAAAAATTAATGATCCATATTTACAAATTATGCATATACCATATGACATTCACATTTTGTTATATATCCAAAATCATGATTAGGGTTAATAAAGGAAGTTATATGTATTTACATGTTGTTGGAGGGAGAAGATATGAGATACGCAGCCATAAATGGGATCTTGACGACGAGCTTGAGCTTCATAATAGATTGTAGTAGCGGCTTCACGTCGATCTTCCATGGGAAGATGAGAGAGCAATTTAGAAGCATTGCTGGCTCCAAACACTTGGTGAATGGCTGCAAAATGTGAAGCTCCTTGTTCATGGCAAAAGTATGGGGCAAACACACATCCTTTTACACATCTCCTTCTTAAGAATTTACAAGCTCCACAAGGAGAGCCAGAGCCAGTCATAGTGATGACTATGTGTACTACGTACTTAGGTTTTTGATGAATGATGATTAACCTTGAGTACGTAGCTTTAAGAATGGAGGAGCATTAGCTTAGGGGAAAGTTTTATAAAGATGTAGATGAAGGTGGGTTTTGATATTTACATTATTTAATCACAATTTGTCTGTTTATTGGCCTACACCTTTCTCATTGTTGATTTTCACTTTTTTTCTTAAATTTCTGTTAAGTAAATTTTACAATTTATCTGGATTTATTTTCTGTTTTTACAAAACCAAACATTCATATATATATATATATATGTCTTGATCTATCATCGTTTGTCTATAATCTTGGAGGATTTGATTGAATATTACCAATTAATTACTGAAAATTCTCATGGATTTACGTTTATTATAATCGTGCCTAGCTATCTTACTTGGAATGGCTCCATCTCTAGCTAGAACGTTCCATTTTCCATAGAAATAAACATCTTACCGTATAAATGGATTTAATTTCATTATCACGAAACTTGAATGAGCTAGACCGCTTAACCTCTTCATTAATCAATGGAAGTATATAATTTGTGTAATGTATTATCAAAGAGCAAATAAACATATATCAAGAATAAGGAGCCAAAAAATATAGTAGAGACTAGAGACAACGGAGACATTGTATGGTATGTGACACTAGACATTTTTTTTTTTTTTAAAGGTAGTATTCAGTATAATTGTAGCATACTAATCAATCTAATTATATATATAAACTGGTTCACGATCAAGCTTTTATCGCATTGTATGGAAGTATGGAACTATGGATCGACAACCCCTGACCCACACACGATAGATTGCAAATTTAATTTTTTTTTGTTTTGGTCAACAAAACCAAACTTTCTTTTAAAGTATTAAAATATGTATATTTGGCAGAATTCAAATTATATAGCTATGATAATGATACAAGTTACATGATAATGATACAAATTATATTCACAAAGAATATAATCAGTTCTATTGGTAGCTAGTTGTTGCTCTCAGAAAGAAGTTACGCTCCAGAAATTTTATAGGATTTCAAACCCTTGTTTGGAAAAGCTAGGTTTCGACCCTAGCTAATATGTGCGTTGGTCCAGAACTCGTTGATAATCAAAACAAAAAAATTATATTATTGTTCTTTGCTCTTTTGCTAATACTATTACGTAACAGCAACAAACAGAAAATATTATAATTCTTCACCAACAAAAAATCTCATCTATTGCTAACTATAATATATTGAAAACAAATATATGTTTATATAGTATAATACATGCAGTCTCTATATACTTAATACATGGAGACAACCAATCTACGTACATAAGATAGATAAGATCAGGTAAATAGTTGAATATTGAGTTTTTAGTAGATGGACAAGAAAGTACCATGAAAGTGATGTTGTTGGTTTATTTTATATATGCGACATTATAATTACTATTTCCTTGTCAAGAGGTTACAATATCAAATTACTTACATAAATAGTTACATCGTTCTTAAAATGAATGGGATAGTTTATTATTACACGCGTGTGTACTTTAGTTTGAACGAGAGACAAAATTTCAAAGTCTAAACCTCAATATAAGGGAAAGGTTTACACAACTTAATATAAAAATTAAGTTGGTTCGAAGACAAAAGGATTTCTTTTCAAATAGGTGGAGATATGACATTTCAAAGAAAACTTAAAGCCAAAGAGTATCGATTTCGTATTTTTGTGTGAAAATAATTGTGGCATATGGAACTTTAGTATATAATACCCAAAGGGACATAAACATTAGTATACTATATTGTATGGAATTAGTTATTTTTAATAGATTTATTGGTCCGTTGTTGCAAGTCCCGGACATAAGAGCACCTCCAACGGTGATTCTATATGAGTTTCTTAAAATCCAAATAATAATAATTAATTGAAAAAGTAAAAGAGAGAAGAAGAGAAAGGAAGAAACGGTTATGAGAAGAGAACTTTTAGAGCTTGTGATGACCTAGGTTGCATGGAATCAGAAGCGGGTACGCGGAAGCGAAACGTTTGGAAACGTGGAAGCGATTTTTATAGAAATTATAGAAAGTGGGTACGTGTTGGAAGCGTATATAAAAATTAATATATATATATATATATAATAAAAAATAAACATTATATCATATAAAAAATTATAATTAACATACAAATCTAATACATAAATTCTAAATATCTCTCTATATTTAAAAATCAAATAGTGTACGTTTACAATAGAGAAAGTCAAATAGTTCAAAGTCAAAAATTTAAGATCATTCTTCATTCTCATGTTACTAATTCCATCAAATAAAATTGTTTTAAATTTTTTTTTACCAATAAAAACATCATCAAACTCAAATTTCTCGAAATTAATTTAATTCAATTAATCATTTCAACATCTCTCTAATAAATGATCCATGCTGCTATCATTTTCTAACTATGATATTAAAAAAAATAAAATACAAAATTAGTATGCAAAATTAGTTTTGGTTTTTCTTTTGTTGTATAAAAAAACTATCAAAAATAATTTCTTATTTCTTATTTATTTTGTGACATCAAATTTTTTAAATGGAATCGCAACCTTCCAAAATAGAATCGTAGCTTCCAAGGAGCTTCCAAAATGAATTTTTTAGAAGCGTTATGGAAGCGAGATTCCGAAAGCTTCCGAGAGCTTCCGATTCCGACTAAGATTCCGAAGCGGGAAGCGGACATCCGACGAAGCTTCCGTGCTTCCTAGGTGATGACTGTGGTGAGAAACGTATATGAGATATGTCACTATGCAATTGGTCAGTTTTCTTCTTTATAATTGAAAATATAGATAAATAATTAAATTATATTTAAATGATTAAAGTAATAGAGATAAGAAACTGAGAATGTCTTTTAGCGTTGGAGGTGCTCTAACAACCTATATTTCTCATTCGATCTTACAACTAACGTAAGAAAATTATGGAAAAGTAAATATATGATATGGAACATTATCTGAAGTATACAAAACATAATTAGTCTTCCACTTATTTCATGTTCCGATTTGTATGTACATTGAGTTTATCTAGTTGGCCAAATCAAAGATTAGCCACCACACTATCCACCATTAATTCGTTTTCTTGAGCTGTATTAACAAACTCTACTAATATAACGACTATGCGTAGTCTAACATTTGTTTCATTGCATGTGCTTAGTTCCGATATAAACAATAATATACAAATAATAACATGTATCTCTAAGAAATTGTTAAGAAAATCAAACAAATGATTAGTTATGGGTAAAAGTAATTAGTATTATTAATTTATTAGCTTACAAAGGGAGTAATTAAAAGACATTGAGACATAAAAGCGGCGGCTAAGGGAAAGACAAAGTTGAACACTACCTAACATGAAAGTAAATGGAAGGAAACGCAAAAGACGTAACTCTCACTTTCTTTTCTTGTGGGTCTATGTATTCGCTATTAAACCCACTCTCTTTTAACTCTTAGAGCAAGTCCAATGGATGAATCCTTAAAAAAATTCTTAAACATTTTTTAATCATAAATTATGACAATTTTAAAATTAAGAGTTTCTTATGAATCCTTAAAATTTTCTTTGTCCAATGGTAGAATCTTTAAGTGGGTTTCTTAAAAAAAAAAAAAAAATTAAATTAACAACTTTGTAACTCTGAGATAAATAACTAAATCATTTTGAAAACTAAAATAAGTGATGGATTACTTTTCCAGTACAAGTTGGCCAAGTTTTCTCTGAGATTCAGTGTTTAGATCGCCAAGAGGATCAATCTCCACACCAGCTTCCTGTCAACACATCAAGATTACAATTATTATTGATAGTCCATTCGAAAAACGATAGAATACAAAGAAAATACAAGTCATACCTTAAGAATTTGAACCCCTTCTTCAAACGTTAACCTCAATGTCTTTTCAAGAAACTGCATGCATATTAGCGCCAATTATCAGAATCCAAAAAGATACGAAAACTATGTTTCTGTTACTCCTTGCTGCTCATCATGATACTGCAGATATATATATGGTTTACCTTCAAAGGTTTAAATGGGTATTGTTTCCAATAGCTTCAAGTTCCTTTTTGCATTTATTATTCAAACTAGTGAATATAAACACAAATAACTCGTCCACAAGGTCCATTATCTGCAGAAACAAGAGATATATTAGCACTAGTACTGTCACAGACTAGAAAACACTTGAGTAGAATTTAGATTATTAACAGCAAGTCACATATTGTCATTTGCTTGTGAAGTTGAGGAGACTGAGCTAGACAAGCAGGCTGTCCTTGGTATTCCAACCTAAATACAGCAGAACCTCCTTCACTACTACCGGCCAAGAGTTTCGGTGTGTGGATATTAACAAAATCCTTGGATAGCAAATTTTCTCTGAAAACCTACAAAAGTGATAGCTAATTAAGCAAAGCAACATACAAGAACAAAGCAACCAAATCATGGAAAGACAATAACTCTAAGATAAACAATCACTAACACTGAACAAAGTTGAATAAGGTATTCAGTTTTCTGGAAAACCCAACAAATGTTTTAACCATAGTCACAGAACTCATAGAACATCTAGTTTCGATAAACCCAGAATCAAATCTCAATTCAAAAACCATAATTTCGATAACATCTAATAACACTAATCTAATCATACCGTAACAAATAAAACAGTTAGATTCATACCGTGATTAAGCGATTGGAGCATGGAATCGCCTAACTATCCGATTTGATTTGCCGAACGCACTGATTTGGTCCACCGAACTTATGTTGGTGACCACCGACAGTAGAGCTGATCATCACGGATGATTGTTTACGACTTTGTTTCACCTTTCTCTTCCAATTTGATGACCTAGACGCCGGATTATGAAGAACAACACGATTTGCTCTCAATTTCGCCATCGGAGAAATTAGAAAACAAGGAGAAGAGAGAGAGTCTCGAGAATAAAATGAATCGGAAAAGGAATTTTTTTTTGTTTTCTCACATTTACGAACCAATCTCGGTGCCACGTCAGCGCCTCTTATCAGCCCAAAAAACTCTAAAACAAGGATCGTTTCTTGCGTTTTAGATCAGTTTTGATTTAAATTTGGGCTTTTAATTTTAAAAAACTTAGGCTTAGAGCCCTCTAAAGATCACCATTGATGTTGCTCTAAGTGCCTATAAGTGTTAAGTAGCTACCAATCAGTGACTCAATCAAAAATACTCAATTCATTATCTTTTCGCTTCATATGAACTTATTTTCCCACCCATTCATATATAAAATTATTTTAAATAGGAAATCGAGATTTTTTAAGGACTTCTATAATGTAGAAAAACACAAATGATTTAGATATACTTGTTGGGATTGGTGAAGTGAATAGTGTTAGGCCCGACAAATGAGACAATCGTGTAGCAACGGGGTTAAAAGAACAGTTTATAGTGTTTAGCTTAAGACACACTATATATTATAATGTCTGAAAAAAGGAGGAGACTTTATGCAATGTATAATACAAAAAGTTTAAACTAGACATTTACGTATCATGGAGCGTGATGCATAACAGTTTGTTAAACACAAACCAGCACTAATTAGCTATTCTTACATATAAAAGTAGAACCAATCACAGTCAGCTTTTGCCATCAATCCTTTAAAATTTCCAAGAAAAAAAAAACTCTTCATTCTGTGATAAAATGATCCTTTATTCTTAAAATGTTGTGTTAGCAGACAAACTAAAACATTACTTTCTATCCAGAGATAACATAAGATTCTGTTTCACTTGCATCTCTTCTTAAAGATGCTTTCGTCGATGAAACTGGGAAATCCTTTAAGCACATCTCGCAGAGCGTAGTAATGGCTATCACATTTATGGTCTGTAATGAAATTACCTGAAAGAAGTATCCTCTGAAAATGTTGTCCTGGATCTCTCTTCCATAGACTAAAGTATTCTACTTGTTTTCCTGCTGCGATTTTCGGGTTTCCTCTTAGGTTCCTCATCAGATAGTAAACTGCCCCCGGTACATATAACTCTTCTGGCAATTTAACAACATCTTTAGTGGTAGATTCAGAGATTAAAGTCTCAGACTGGTTGTTCTTGGATGACGAGATTTCTGATAAGAATCAAGAAAGATGAGATTCATGAAGCGTTAGGTATATAACTAAGTCTTATAATAATACAGAGAATCACGCGAAAGAAAGTCGGGTTCAAGTAGTAGTTACCAGGAACTTCTTTTTTATTTCCGAAGTTTGCATAATCAGAAACTTTTCGAGCTACGTCTTGCACAGAGGTGACAACTTGTTTTGCATTTGTTACCAAATCCATTATGTTCTTCCATTCTTCCTTCTCAATTATACTTGTCCTGGATTTACAAGTCACAGCGGTAAACAAACTGATTGTAAAAGGGTAGTCAAGTTTCAAGAAGAGAAGGTGTTTGCTTACCAATCTGTCTGAAGGATTTCATTCCTCAATCTCGCTAGAGAAGCTGCACTGAGTCTAGGTATAATATCGTCCTGAAATTGGGGGAAATGCTGTGAGTTTCAAGAAGAGAGTAATCTCAGCAAAATTTGAACAAGACAATAGTTTTTTTTTTTGTTCTGACCTGCATTACAATAGTTGTTACAAAATCAGAGCAGTTCTCTGCAAGCTCTTTGGAAACACAAGGAGGTGTTGCATACCCAACGGCTGAAATAATTTCAGCATCGAATCCCAATTCCTCCCTTGGCATTTTCCTGAGCATTATTGCCATTAACGAGGCTATAGCACCGCCGAGAGAATGACCAACAAGCCTTAGCTTGTATCCCTACGGATCGTTCATTGCAATATAAATCCATCCTTCTCATGTCTCACAAACAAAAGAAATGAGGAACAACAAGGATAATATCATCACCTCGTATTTCGCTAAGCATCTTCTTATAGTTTGCAATTCGTGATTAAGGAACCATCGTGCAGCTTCAGCGGTTCCAAAGTGTGTTGAGTAGCCTTCAAAAGTGACTTCTTCATCGCTCGAAGAGACAATGTCAGTGATAAGATCGTAAATTGTATGAGTCCCGCGTATTCCAAAGACAACAAGTTTCCTTCGATGATCAACTCCTATGTAGTATCCAGGCCTCATAACACTTGAATCTTTCACAAATTTAAGAATATTATTCTCTCGAAGCATCGTGTTCTTTGCAAGACCACTCACACTATCCCTGTAACAACCTTTCGCTAACTCGGCGTTGTATATCAGATCATAAACCTGAAAAATAAAAAAATAAAGCTACTCAGAATTTAGTAAAAGGGAAGTTATGTACATGACAATGATTAGAATAATGTTCTTACCGTAGACTCTGAAACAACTTCTACGCCCTTGACGTCCTCAAACGGACACAAGGATGCTTGTCGAAGGTATATAAGATAGAGACCAATTGTAAGATCACCAAAAGTCCAACCTTCAATACCGAGCTTACTCCTTTGAATACTAGCAATGATCTCAGACAGAGATCGACTACCAGGCATTGACTTCTCTCCTAGAGAAAACACACATTATTAACGCTGCCTCGGCATAATGTATATAAGAAACACAATGAATGCACCATATGATAAAGACCTGTTGGAAGAGCCCATCTACGCAATTGCATAGCTGGCTCAAGTGCTTTAGTGAGCCAAGCTAGGTCCAGTTTCCACTTTCCATCACCTGTATCTTCATCACTAGAGCTATCACAGTCGATTCCTGATTCAAATTGTCTTCTATTCTCTAATCCGGACCTCAAAGAAGTGACACTACTAGACTTTCTCTTCTCTGCCTCCTGCTCTTCTAACTCCTTTCCTACCTTACCGGTCTCTGATAAATGCGATTGAAATCTTCTGATTACATTGTAAACAACTCCTTCATACAATCCACGTCTCTTCTTGAACGGTGAACCTTCTACAACTGAAAAACAAAAAAAGGTTGAAACTTGTCAAGAATTCCTAAATTCCAAAACTTTCATATCAAACATATGATATTAGTAACTAGCTATTACCTAAATTGCCAAGCTAAAATCTTATTAGAGTAACCATAAACAAGAGATTGTTTTTTTTCTTTCCACAAAAGTCATATAACAAGAACAAAAGCTAAGTATCATCAGTGATTTCTCCGTGTTAAACACTCTATTGAAAAGGCTTCAAATTTCCAGAACTAAAGGGTACTTAGAGCTTACAAAAATTCCGTAGAAGCCGGTTCAATGCTCTGTTAGCCATTGGCGAGCTCAGAATTGGCTTTCTCCGGCCAAAAAGAATCCACCTTTCAAGGAAAAGGATCGTTCCGAAGCCGACGGAGGAAGAGCAAAAAGCTTTAAGTAAGTGAAACTTCGAAGTAACGGCGGAGCATTAAGTCGGAGATAATCGGCGAGTGTCGGCCGAGCAAATCGGAAAAACCAAAACCGGAGGAAAAGAAGAATAGCACACCGACTGGATTCATCCAGACTTATTCAGCAATGAGCAATGGGCTTAATTGGGCCTTTTCTTATTAGTCCATTTAAAAATCCAGTGATTTTCAAAGTAAAGAATCAGGGTATTTACGTCTTTTGGTCAATGAAATCTCGAAAGTCAAAAACTTGTTCTGTTTTTGGTAGAAACAGAGGATTGCTCTGTTTTTTCATAGAGGGGAATTGAAAAACAAAACTTTATTTTGACATCAAAGAATGTCGTCAAACGACAAAACTTTAGAAACAGCAGGAGATTTAGCGATCTCCTTCTTCAGTTCAACTTTGAGATCCGACAAAGCCAGCTCCATATTCTTGATCCGTTCCACCAATTCTTCGACCCGAGAACTACCGGCAATTGCATTCTTCCTCTCCAAGGCAACCTCCTCAAGTTTTTTCTTTAACCAATCCAGCTTGAAGCCCGCTTCTGTTAGCTCGCTCAACTCGCTGTGAGCGTTTCTTAGCATAGTATCAGTAAAGCTACATGGAGGCTTGTGCAGTGTCTCGATGAGGCCGAGCAGGACATTCATGTATGCTGTCTTCACTACTTGGTTCTTTGGTTTGAAATCTACTGCAATGTCTGGGTGCTTTACGAAAATCTTGCTCACTAAAACACCCTGCGAACGAGTAAGGTGGTAGATCATTTATTATATATCAACAATGTTTCGGTTATTCTAAGAAAATAAAAAAAGAGTAGACGAAATCAAGGATCTCCTTAACTTACTTGAGTATAAGGAACTTCGAAACCTTTAATACGTAACATCCCCTTCCCAGTTACTTCTTCTACATGAACAGCTTCAACTATTTCCACTTCAACTTTAACGATCAGTTTGTCGTTCTCAAGAAACCCTTCTTTTTTAAGCTTACTAAGAGGAAATACTTTGGGATAACCCCAGCTTTGGGTCTCATCACAGAACAAGCTGCCTTCTTCTGTGTAAGACATTTACCAAAATATATATAAGCTAACATTTTTACAATCTGCCTAGTGCCTGCTTCTATATAAAGATATAGACTTTTCTTATTCATTAAGACGATATGATATATAATTATTGTTCCTACAGATTGAAACACGGTAGATAGGATCATTACCAGGTGTACTTGATATTTGGAGCTCTTTGCCGGATTGATTCAACAAAACGAATCCATAACTAACTCTCTTTTTCCATCCAAATTTCAATGATTTAGGACTAGCAACATTCAAGTACACAGCCAAGTGATCACAACAATAGTCTCCCTTGGGATGAACGGTAACATACCTGAGAAAATAAAAGATTAAACCTTAGTTTAAACTCTGCATCTCATTTATCGATATAAATATCAGCATATATTCTTTAATTTAAAGGTCCAAATCTTCTCGTTTTACCATTTGCATCCACCGCATTCGAATGTAGATCGAAGACGATATCTCAGCTTCCTTCTCCGAGAAGTTATCTATCTCAAACGTGAAACTCGTTTGCTTTTGGTTCCTCGTTTCTGTTCAAAATAGGCTTTGTTGCTTTCAGAAACTAAGACAACGAAAAAAAAAAAAACGAAACTTAACAAAATCACAACACAAACAAAATGGGGGAGAATTACCTGATAAACTCTTTTCCATTTGATTCCCCATATCTTATCAAAACGCTTTCTTAATGCTTTGTTTTTCAAATACAAAATCTTCTTGGGAAATTTGCACTGCTAAGTTGTAATACCAAGAAGAAAAAAATTCTAATAGACTTTGGAGTTATTTTCAAGGAATATTTATGTTTTATACACTACCTTTTATTTCTTTCTTTTATTTGCTTGATCATTATAAATGAGTATTTATGGACATAATTAAACTTACAAAATATCACATTTACTATGTTGGATACACTCAATATAAAGGTGGTCACAATTCACAAGTAACATATAATTAATAAGATTTAGAGTTAGATAAAAAAAAAGGAGAATTACATTTATATTTAGTTATATATATACAAAAAATTAATTGAAAGGGTTGAAAAAGGGAAATATATTTACAAGAAATAAATAAAAGAGAAGAACAATTTATTACTTATTTTCTTACAGCAACAATTTATTACATTAAATCTTGGATTTTACAAAATTAATAATAAGATCCCTTTAACAGCTCATTCAAATCTCGAATGTTTCTCATCCACCTCCATGGCTACGCCATCATTTGTATTCTTTTGACAATGATTAAAGCAATAAAATCTCATGTTCGTCGAAAAAGATTAAAAATCTTGGATTTTACAAAATTAATAATAAGATCCCTTTTCCAACTCATTCAATAAATTTTGTAGATACCGTATATAACTAAAATATAAATGTAACTCTCTTTATATATTTTTTATTTTATTTTGTAGTCTCTTTTAAATCTTTTTTTTTTTTTGGTAAGATCTTTTAAATCTTTTTCTTCTTGGTATTACAAGTCCCCTGAGCAGTGCAAATTTTCTTTACAAGATTTTGTCTTTCGCTTGAAAAAACAAAGCATTAAGAAAGCGTTTTGATAAGATATGGGGAATCAAATGCAAAAGAGTTTATCAGGTCTCCCCATTTTGTTTCTGTTGTGGTTTTGTTTATTAAGTTTCGTTTGTTTGTTTGTTTTTTTTTCATTGGTTGTCTTAGTTTCTGTAAGCAAGAAAGCCTATTTTGAACAGATACGAGGAATCAAAAACAGACTAGTTTCACGTTTGAGATAGATAACTTCTCGGAAAAGGAAGCTGAGATATCGTCTTCTATATTCGAATGCGGCAGATGCAAATGGTAAAACGAGAAGAATTGCACCTTTAAATTAAAGATTATATGCTGATATATATATATATATATATATATATATATATCGATAAATGAGATGTAGAGTTTAAACTAAGGTTTAATCTTGTATTTTTTTCAGGTATGTTACCGTTCATCCCAAGGGAGACTATTTTTGTGATTACTTGGCTTTGTACTTGACTGTTGCTAGTCCTAAATCATTGAGAACTGGATGGAAAAAGAGAGTTAGTTATTGCTTCGTTGTGTTAAATCAATCCGGCAAAAAGCTCCAAATATTACGTACACCTGGTAATGATCCTATCTACCGTGTTTGAATCTGTAGGAACAATAAGAAAAGTCTACATCTTTATATAGAAGCAGGCACTAGGCAGATTGTAAAAATGTTAGCTTATATATATATATTTTAAATGTCTTACACAGAAGAAGGCAGCTTGTTCTGTGATGAGACCCAAAGCTGGGGTTATCCCAAAGTATATCCTCTTAGTAAGCTTAAAGAAGAAGGGTTTCTTGAGAACAACAAACTGATTGTTAAAGTCGAAGTAAAAGTAATTGAAGCTGGTGAACAAAAATAAAAAAACTAGTTGAAGCTGTTCATGTAGAAGAGGTATATGGAGCTGGCTTTGTCGGATCTCAGAGTTGAACTGAAGAATAAGAAGGCTAAATCTGCTGCTGCTTAAGTTTTGTCGTTTTAAGACATTATTTGATGTCAAAATAAAGTTTTTAAGTTCATATATTACTTAGTGATTCATGGTTCCAAAAATTGTTTGATGTCAAAATAAAGTTTTCAAGACCGAGTGTTGGCTACTTCTTACATTAGGGTTTTGATTAATGTCTCTATCTGATCTTTCTCTTCCTCGAGTGGTTGAATCAGACGAATCTTCTTCACTTCTCAATGCTTTCTTTTATAGAGGAATTGGTAGGAACAGAGGAAATCCTCTGTTCTTTTACTTTTTTTTTTTATAGAGGAGGAAAGAAAAACAAAAGTTTAATCTCTGAGGACGAAGTTTAGCGAAACAAGGAAACCTAATGAATATATAAAAGCTTAAACAATTAATCAACAAACCAAATCTGTCATCAACAACTTTAGAACTTAACCCCGCGTTAACTCAAACAATTTTTGGAACCATGAATCACAAAGAAATATATGAACTAAAAAACTTTATTTTGAGATCAAACAATGTCGTCAAACGACAAAACTCTAGCAGCAGCTGCAGATTTAGCCTTCTCCTTCTTCAGTTCAACTATGAGATCCAACAAAGTCACCTTCAGATTATTGATGCGTTCTTCCACTTCTTCGACCCGAGAACCATCAGCAATTGCATTCTTCCTCTTCAAGGCAACCTCCCCAAGCTTTTCCTATAACCAATCCAGCTTGAAGCCTGCTTCTGTTAGCTCTCTCAACTTGCTGTAAGCGTTGCTTAGCTCAGTCTCAGAGAAGCTCTGTGGAGGCTTGCGCAGTGTCTCGATGAGGCCAAGGAGGACATTCATGTATGCTGTCTTCACTACTTGGCTCTTTGGTTTGAAATCTACTGCAATGTCCGGGTGCCTTGCGAAAATCTTGCTCACTAAAAGAACCTGCCAACGAGAAAGGTGCCATGGTAGACCATATATTATATATCAAGAATGTTTCCGTTATTCTCAAAAAAAATGGAGAAAACGAAGCCAAAGATATCATAAACATACCTGAGTATAAAGAATCTGGAAACCATTGAGACTATACATCCCCTTCCCAGTTACCTCTTCTTCATGAACAGCTTCAACTAATTTTACTTCCACTTTAATGATCAATTTGTCATTCTCTAAAAACTCTTCTTCTGTAAGCTTGCTAAGAGGCAATACTTTGTGATAACCCCAGGATGGGACCTTATCACAGAACAAGCTGCCTTCTTCTTCTGTATAAGACATTAACAAAAAAATATATATAAGCTTACATTTGTACAAGCTGTCTGATTCTACATTATTGTTCATTAAGACATATTCATTTCTTAGATCATTAAGATGATATGATCTATAATTATTGTTCCTACAGATTCAAACACGGTAGATAGGATCATTACCAGATGTACTTAATATTTGGAGCTCTTTGCCGGACTGATTCAACAAAACGAAGCAAGGACTAACTTTTCTTTTCCATCCAGTTCTCAATGATTTAGGACTAGCAACATTCAAGATCACAGCCAAGTGATCACGACAATAGTATCCCTTGGGATAAACGGTAACATACCTGAGAAAATAAAAGACGATTAGTTTAACGCTACATGTAATTTACTGATATATATTATCAGCATATATTCTTTAATCTAGAGGTCTAATTCTTCTCGTTTACCATTCGCATCCGCCGCAGCCGAATAAAGAAGACGATATCGCAGCTTTCTTCTCCGAGAAGTTATCTATCTCAAACGTGAAACTTGTCTGCTTTTGATTCCTCGTGTCTGTTCATCAAAATAGGCTTTGTTGCTTTAGAAATTAAGACAAACAAAAAAAAGCTAACAAAATCTCAACACAAAAGAAATGGGGAGAAACAACAGCTTACTTGAGATACTCTTCTGCATTTGATTCCCCATTTCTTATCAAAACGCTTTCTTAATGATGAAAATTTCTTGATCATTACAAATGAGTATTATTTATAGACCTAAATAAAATTATAAAACATCATATTTATGATATATGTTGGGTACACTTCATACATTAATAATAAGATTTTGAGTTAAATAAAAGGAGAATACATTTACATTTAATGAATGAGTTGAATAAAGGGAAATGGATGTATAAGAAATAAATAGAAGAGAAAACAATTTATTACATTAAATCTTGGATTTTACAAAATTACTAAGATGATTTTTTTTTTCCTTTGCTACTTAATTTTTTGCCATCTCTTATAAGCTATAGCCACGTATCAATGAACATAAAGATTTATTCTAAAGATAATCCTGGAAGTCGGTCAATAACTAGATGATGAATTTTCTTTATTATAAAATTTTATAAAAAGCCAGAGATAATCTCAAGCAAAGCCTAGTGAGACAAGAAAATTCTCCGATTTTTATAGAGGAGAAAGAAAAAAAAAAAAAGAAACTTAATCTCAGACAAAAGTCTAGTAAAATAAGGAGCCCAAATAAAACTAAAATAATTGATTTAACTAATCAGTGTTTGCTATATATAAAAAAAAACGCTTTTGTTGCAAGAAAACTTGGTTTTGACATCAAAGAATGTCGTCAAGGGACAAAAGTTTAGCAGCAGCAACAGCAGATTTAGCCTTCTCACTTTGCAGTTCAACTTTGAGATCCGACAAAGTCAGCTCCAGATTCTTGATGCGTTCCTCCACTTCTTCAACCTGAGAACCATCAGAAAATGCATTCTTCCTCTCCAAGGCAACCTCCTCAAGCTTTGTCTTTAACCAATCCAGCTTAAAGCCTGCTTCTGTCAGCTCGCTCAACTCGCTGTTAGCTTTGCTAAACTCACTATCAGAAAAGCTCAGTGGAGGCCTTCACAATGTCTCGATTAGACCGAGGAGAAGATTCATGTATGCTGTCTTTAGACATTTCCCATTTAGTTTGAAATCAGTTGCAAGGTCTGGATGTTTCATGAAAAGCTGGCTCACAGAAGTAACCTGCCAACAACAACAAGATCTGGTTATCAAGAAAAATTGAAAGAAACAGAAATAGGGAAGCTCCTTTAACATACCTGAGTAGAAGGAACCTCAAAACCTTTGATTTCAAAGGTCTCCTTCCCAGTTACATATCCTTCTTCAGTTAGTTTAACTTCGACTCTAATGATCAGTTTGTTATTTTCCAAAAATCCTTCCTCTTTAAGCTTGCTAAGAGGCAATGTCCTATCACCCCACATTCGGAACTGAGCGCAGAACAAGCTTGATGTTTCTGTAAGACAAACAAAAGGTATATTTTTTCTTCATCAAAACGATATCCTTCTTCTTATATATATCTACTGCTCATAAAGATTCAAAAATGTGATTATATATCATTACCAGCAGCTCTGTAGAGCTCTTTTCCGGATTGATTCAACAAAACGAAGCGATAACGAGCTCGCGTTCTCCATCCAGTTAGAAGCAATTTAGGATTCTGAACGCAAAGGTACAGACGCAAGTAACCACCAAAATCTTTTTCATTGGGTTGAACTTGAACATACCTGAGAAAAGATTAGAGACCCTTTTTAGTGCTAAACGGTCCAATAGATTTACCTTAAGTAAATTTTCTTAGAATGTAAACATTGATCCTACTCGCTTACCATTCAGATCCACCACCTAAGAACGTTGGAGACATAAACGAAGCTTTCTTCTCGGAGAAGTTATTGATTTCAAACGTGAAAATCGTTAGCAACTCATGATTTCCTTTATCTGTTCAAAAACCTTTCTTAGATTTTTCTTACACTTTGAGGGACAAACAAATTTCTCATAAACTTATTTGCTACTCTCTGACCAGAAAAAAACAAACTTTAATTAATCATCAGGAGAAAACGACTTACCTGAAACACTGTTCTGCATCTGATTCCCCATAACTTTATCAAAACGCTTTCTTAGGCTTTGCTTCGTCAACAGAAAGAAAACGTTCTTGCAGAGAAATTTGTAATTCTTGTGCTAATTGAAACCCTAATATATAAAGTTAGGATACTTTCTGCTTATAAAGCCCAACCCAACACAGCCAACATCTGAGCCCAATTCCGTACACGGTCACCTTGCAAGTCAAGACAAAAACAGAGGATTAGCAGTACGGAGGTCAAGATCAAAAACTGTTTTGAGCTGTAGTATATTGATATTGGTTAAAAATAAAAAAGAAAGATTGAAAAAAAAGAAAGAAGTAAAAAGCCTTATTAAGGAATAAAAATGGAAAAGTCCTCATTACTTATTTCCATACACAGACTTTTTGGTTTGTTTACTTTTAACTTATTCATGAGATATCTCAGGATACTTGATGACGACGTTGGAAATAAAGGAAAAAGTTAACTTGAAAATTTCCAAAGAAGGAAGATTACTATAGTTATAATTAAAATGTTTATATCAGTAATTTGTAATGTGTTTTTATAGAAGTGTGATCAGTATTCAGTAATTTAGCACTTTTTCAGCATTACTATGCAAGAAAGCGTTTCAAAATTAGCATATTAAAGTGGTTTCTGTAGAATCCTCTTGTTATTTCTGTTAAGCCGAGATCTTGTTCTCATGTATTTTACATTCATCTTAATCGACAAAAATTCTGTACTTCTCTCTTTTATTTAGTTTTATTATTCGGATGCTTGAGATTGAGATTAGAAAGAAAAAAAATAAACTTAATTGAAAATCAAGGACTTGTGACGCAAGACACCTTAGGAGAAAGATACTAATATACGTAAGCCAAATTCAAATACACACACATTGTCTCAATTAAGCTCTTTTTAGTGAGGGACGTAACCATATATATTTTTCCTGGACTGAGGTCTTAGAGCTCCTTCGTTTGTAATAAGAATATATTTTTATTTCCTAGCTTAAACTTGATCTCTCCACCTATATATATATATATAACACATTTGTAGGATTTGGATTGAGAACAAAACTCGCATACCCTTTATGCAGGAGATAGAGGGTTCCTCGTGAGCTTAATTGTATGAAAACCACAATGGGTTTGGGTGTGTATTTACTATGTAGAGCTAGTAGGTGATTCAAGCTTGGAATTAATGAAGAATCTATCTCTAGTTTATATTCTCTAACACATTAACTCAAATGTATTCTGAAGGAAAACTTGAAAGGAGAATGCAAAGAAAGATATGATGAACATATATGATTGTCTTTCAGTCTGTTTTTCTCTTAATCGGATTTCCTCCTTCGAGTCCAAGGACTCATAGGTGTACTTAAGGAAGCATAATCCTTTAAAGAGAACATTTTTGGTTCAATATGAGACCTGGCTTTCTCCTTGTCCAGTTCAACTTTAAGATTCGACAACATTAACTCAAGATTCTTGACCTTTTCCTCAAGTTCTTGGACCCGAGCCGCGTCAGCATCAACTTTTATCTTCCTCTCCAAGGAAACCTCATCAAGCTTTGACTTCAACCAGTCCAGCTTAAAGCCCACTTCCATTAGATCAATTAAACTGCTATAAGCCTTGATTAGTTCAGTCTCTGAGAAGCTCTCTGGAGGCTTGTTTGCTGTCTTGATAAGGCCGAGGAGAATCTTCAGGTATGCTGTCTTCACGGCTTTGCTTTTTGGTTTGATATCTGCCGCAAAGTTTGGGTACTTGGCAAAAATGTGGCTCACTGAAGTAATCTGCCAACAACAAGAAATATATAATTATGTTAACCAAATCCAAACCTAGTTGCATCTACTAAAAAAAACACCTCGGCGATTCTTAACTTACTTGAGAAGAAAGAACATTGAAACCTCTGAAATCTAACATATCCTTCCTAGTTTCATCTCCTTCATGAACAACTTCAGTAACTTTAATGTAGACTTCAATGATGAGAGTGTTGTTCTCTAACAACTCTTTATCCTGTAACTTGGTAAGAGGCAACGCCGTTCGAAAACCCCAGCCAGGGATCTCAGCGCCAAACAAGCCATATCTTTCTGCAAGACAGCCAAAAGATGAAATTTTAAGATTTTTTTTCTTTTCATCAATTGAGATATTTGTATAGTTTCTGTCTCTTACAAACTCAGACTTGGAAGATAAGTTAATTTACCAGATGTTCTATGGACCTCTTTGCCTGATTGATTCAATATAATGAAGTTCAAACTGGCTCGCCTTTTCCATCCAGGTTGCAGTGATTTAGGGTTCGCAACACATAGATACAGAGACAAGTAATCATCAAACCCATCTCCCTTGGGATGAATTAGAACATACCTGAGAGAAAAAAAAAAAAAAGAAGAAACAGATGAAAACCCTATTTAGGGATACGCAAAGGTTTATTTGTAGAATTTAGACAATTAAGTTGAAAAAAGCTAATGATCCGGTTCTTCTCGGTTTTACCATTCGCAGCCACCGCTTGAGAACGCAGTAGACGTTATTGGAAATTTCCTTTCGGAGAAGTTTTCTATCTTCCAGCTAAAAGTACTCTGCAAATCAATCTCCATCATCTCAAAAACGCTTTCTTAATTTAGGGTTTGGTTCTTCCAGTGAGGGACAAGAGACTTGTTTGATTCATAAATCAAACACGTTTTTCTTTATATATGTAGCGAAATAAAAACACTTAATAATTAATTCCTATTTCCTATTTAAAAAAGGAAACTAAATCTAGGGGGTGTATTCAACCTTTATTTTAAATGATTTGATTTTTAATGAGTTTTATATGATTTTGATAATTTTGAGTGAATTTAAGGAAGTTGTTATGAATAATTGTAAAATATTTCTAAATCCTATTTTAAACCATGAGATTTATTTTTTTTTGTATTTTTAACTAAGAAATCCTTTAATATCCCTAAAAGTCTTTAAAATCCAATAGTTGAGATAATAACATTGGATTTTGAAATATTTTTCCAAACCACTAGTTCAATAACACTAGATTTTATAAGATTTTTTTAATAACAAATGATTTGTTAATTTAATAAAAATCACTCCAAATGCTTGATAGTAATCTGTCTGTTTATAAGTTTGATATAATAAAAAAGTATATTCTGTGAAAAACAAAACAGAGAATGAAACTTTTAATGAACATAGTAATGTGTTTCAGTTTATTCTTTTGTAAGCATTTGTCTTCTGCTGAATTCCTAGACAGTTAGTATGTGAAAATAAATCATCATCATCTTCCCACGACAAAACATTAGCAGTACTAGTAGCAGAATTTTCTATCTTCTGATCCAGTTCAACTTTGAGATCAGACAAAGTCTCTTTCAATGACAAAACTTTAGCAGCAGCCCTAGTAGATTTGGCTTTCTCCTTGTCCAGTTCAACTTTGAGATCACAATAAGTCTCCTTCAACAACAAAAATTTATCAGTAGCACTAGCATTTTTTGCCTTCTCCTTACCCAGTTCAGTTTTGAGATCAGACAATGTATCCTCTAACGACAAAAATTTAGCAGTATCACTAGTAGATTTGGCCTTCTCTTTGTCCAGTTCAGCTTTGAGATCTGACACAGTCAGCTCAAGATTCTTGACGTGTTCCTCAAGTTGTTGAATCCGACACCCATCAGCATTTGCTTTCTTCAACTCCACGGAAACCTCCTCAAGTTTTGTCTTCAACCACTCCACCTTGAAACCTACTTCCATCAGCTCGGTCAATTCGCTATGAACGTTGCTTAGCTCAGTCTCTGAGATACTCTGTGGCGGCTTAGCCATTGTCTGGATGACCCTAAGAAGGACATTCATGTATTCTGTCTTCACTACTTGGTTCTTTGATCTGAAATCTTCTGCAATATCTGGATGCTCCTCGAAAATTTGCTTCACTGAAGTAACCTGCCAAAGAAATAGGAATTTTGAGTTTGAATCTTTGTGTGGTTTTAATCAACCAGAAAGACCAACTTATTACCTGAGAGGAAAGAACATGGAAACCATTGACATCTACAGTTTCCTTCTCAGACTTATCTGGATACTCTAAGCAACTTCTTAAGAGCTTATTAGTGAATGAAGCTGGAAACATATGATATCCTTCAACAACTTCAATAACTTTAATATAGATTTCAATGTTGAATCTATCGTTATCTAGAAAGATTTTGTCTAGAAGCTTTTTTCGAGGCAGTGTCTGTGGAAAACCCCAGCTTAGTGAGTCATCACAAAACACTTGATCACCTATTTCTGTTAAGACAAAAGCAAAAATGTGAATTTAAGTTTTCTTCATCTTCAATCAGATAAGATGTGTGTAGTTCTCTTACGGACACAGAGAGAAGTTAAGTTAAACTACGTACCAGGTGTTCTATGAAGTTCTTTGCCTGATTGATTCAGCAAAACAAAGTAAAAATTAGCTCTCCTTTTCCAATTAAGTCCAAGTGATTTAGGATCATCAGGAGACAGGAACAGAGACAAGTAATTATCATCAACACTGCCCTTAGGATAAACTTTAATATACCTAAAAAAAAACAATAAGATTCCAGATTAAACTTCATAAGTGCTTAGCGATCTTCAAGACAAAAATTATTCTTGAATGGAGAAAATGAACTTACCAATCGCAGCCACCGCTAGGGAACGGAGGAGAGTTAATTGGAGAACTCTTTTGGGAGAAGTTGGTTACCGTCAAAGTTAAAGCTTTGCGGAATTGCGTTCCCATCTGTTTATTTTTTTTTAGGGTTTTGGTATTTCTTTGAGCTAGGGAGGAGGAAACAGAGGAATTACTTTTAGATTTGTTTGATCCTTGAATCGTAAGCGAAGATCAAGAGACACAAACGAAATCTGATTAGTGGAACAAGGAAACCTCAAAATTAAAAATAAAGATAATCCTTATCTACGAAAAAGGGGGAAAAAGTATTAATCTGATTATATTTACAATCCATGCGTTACAAAGATGAGAGGTAATTTTGACATTTTTAATTGGATATAAAAGGATTTGATGTACATATTGACATTAATATGTTTAAATCAAAATAAATTTACGATTTTGTGTATATTCGTAAAATATACTGATCATCAGTATTTTACGATGATCCAGTTTATAGAGTGAATAAAATCCAGTTTATAGAGTGAATAATCCCTTTTATTTATATAGCCTAGCTATCATCTACTTGGCAACAATATTTATCACTTTAACAGACAAATATATATATATATATATATATATATATATATATATATATATATATATCATATGCAACAAACTAATCTAAGAATATCCTGATTGACCTATCTAAACACAAAATTCGGATCCCCACTTTTGTCTATGTTTTATATAATTGAACACTTGTGATACAAGTCACACATTTTTTTTTTTACATTCACTCAGACATGGTTTTAAGGCATATAAAAAAGGACAAAAACAGAGAATGAGCTTCATGAGAAAGAGAATGCGTTTGTTTATTTTAAGTAACGAAAAGAGATAACAACAAGGGAGATAATGAAAGAAAACTTTTAATTTAAAATGATATGAACTGAAACAGAGAATCGCTCCCATTTAAAGTTCTTGGAATCAGAACACAATAACCGAATTTTATTTTTGAATGAAACCTCTTCAAGCCTTGACTGTAAAACATAGTTAATTAGTGTTTTGAGATTGAGAAACAAGAGAGAAAGAATCTCTTTATGAAAAAACCTATGAAATCAAAAGAAGAAACTTTATCAGCAATGATCTTCTCCTTTTCTAGTTCAACTTTGAGATCCCACACAGTAAGCTCCAGATTCTTGACACGTTCCTTCAGTTGTTGGACCTGAGAACCATCAGAAACTGCTTTCTTCCTCTCCAAGGAAACCTCCTCAAGCTTTGTTTTTAACCAGTCTAGCTTGAAGCTCACTTCCATCAACTTAGTCAACTCGCTGTGAGCGTTTCTTAGCTCAGTCTCAGACAAGCTTAGAGGAGGCTTGCGCAGTGTCTCGATGAGGCCGAGGAGAATATTCATATATGCTTTCTTCACCAGTTTGTTCTTTGGTCTGAAACCTACTGCAATGTCTGGGTGTTTCACGAAGATCCAACTCACTGATTTAACCTGCATGCACAAGAAAAAGATGTAATAATGCTAACTAAATGTCTAAATCTAACATCTCTTTCTTGTAAATATTTTCTTCATGAATACTTTAATGTAGATTTCAATGGTTAGTTTGTTGTTCTCCAGAAACCCTTCTTCTTCAAGCGTGCTAAGAGGCAATGTCTTAGAGAAACACGGGTCTGAGACCTCAGCGCAGAACAAGTTGCATGCTTCTATAAGAAAGACATACACAAAAAGATTTAATCAACTTTTTTTCTTTGAGAGATTAAAAAAAATGGGAGATTATAATGTCATTTCCAGATGTTCTGTAGAGCTCTTTGCCGGATTGATTCAACAAAACGAAGAAATGACTAGCTCTCATTTTCCATCCAGGTTGCAATGCTTCAGGATTCGAAACACCAAAGTACACATACAAGTGATCAGAACAATATCCCTTGGGATAAACCCCAAGATACCTACGAGATTAAGCACTTTGAACTTCTTAAAATCGAATACATCAATCTTTAAGAACATGTTATTATAAGTAATTTAAAGATCTGATGCTTCTCGATTTACCATTCGCAGCCGCTTCTTGAGAAGGGATCCGACTTTATCTCATCGTTCCTTTCGGAGAAGTTATCAATCACCCATGTAAAAGCCTTCTTCAATTCTGTCTCCATCTGCTAAAAGATGCTGCTCTCTCAAGTTCAAGAAAATGGTTTGCTTAAACTTTCTCTCTTAATATAAGAAAACCGAATCCGTAATAATTTAATCAAACGAGATAACTAGACCAAAATCTTAAAATAAAGTTAATACAATTGGACATAATTATATAAACTAGATTTATAACTCATATCTTAGTTAAAATCCAAACTTTACAAAGTTGAATGTTTTTTATTAGGATAAAAACATTTTTGCTTTTTTTTTTCTTATAGATAATATTTTCAAAAGGTTTAATTTAAAATTAAATTTCTTATATAAATAATAATCAAATTATGGTTAAAAAGATATGGAAAACAAAATTGAAATTAATAACTATGGATTTTCTACTCTTTTAAGACTTCAAATATAATGCATTTTTAAAAACATTATGGTGGAGAGATTTTGGAACATATCTATTAAATTGCATTCACAAATGAATTGCCTCTGTTTTTGAAAGTCGTGGAAAGAAATTAGAGGGAAAAAAATAGGATCTAGACCATCTCCAATGTATTTCCCTATTTTTAGCTCTATTTCTATAATAGAGATAAGTTTTCTCTATTTTTACTCTAATGTGTTCCTCTATTTTTTCCTCTAAAAAGTTTAACTCTATTTATAGAGGAAGAAATAGAGATTCTCTATTTTCACCTCTATATATAGAGAAAAAAAATAGAGATCTCTATTTTAGAGGTGAGAATAGAGGTGGATTGGAGCAAATTTGCCTCTAAAATAGAGTTTAGAGGCAAATATAGAGGTGGGTTGGAGATGCTCTTAGAGTTAGCGAGAAAAGCAGATGAGATTGATTTCTAGTGTAGTGACCTTTTAAAGTGTTTCTCTGTTGGTTTAACAATTTTTTCTTGTTTGGTAATTGATATTATGAAATGTTATGGATCCTAAATAGCGATTGTTTTGTTTCATTTTGCAACGTTTGTTGAAAAGTCTTATTTGAAGCAATACCCGTCACTCCTCTTCTAATAATGTACAAAGTTTAACTTTAATTTGTTGGGAGGAACTCTGGAGATAGAAGAAGAGACGCAATCAATTACATATAACAAAACATTCAAAGACACGTTTTGGCTTTGTTGCCTCTGATTTTTTTTTTCTTTTTTCAAGTACTTGTGTTTCAAGGCACCTTAGGAGACGTTTTGATCTATTTTTCTTTAAACAGAGAACTATCAATGAACTTTATAATCTTACAGTAGTGTAGTGACCAAATACAGAGAGTGGGATTCCGTATAAAGAGACTGCGTTCGTTATATAATATACTTCTATTATGTAACCAAAAATGACAAAAACAAGGCCGGGAATAAAATAAAACAAAACTATGAATTCAAACTTGCTTGAAAAAAGTGATAAGAGCTGAAACAGAGAATTATTGTTCCCATCTATTGGATGTTAGAAATATATTGGGATCAGAATAAATTAACCGAGTTTTTCTAAATTGAAACTCACCAAGCTCTAACTATAAATCATAGTAAGTGTTTTGAGATTGAGAAGCAAGAGAGAAAGAATCTCTTCATAAAAGAATTTATGAGCTCAAACGATGAAACTTTAGCAGCAGCCGCATATATATTTTCTCTTCTCCTTTTCCAGTTCAACTCTAAGATCTGACGAATTCAAATCCACATTCTTGAAACGTTCCTCCAGTTGTTTGACCTGAGAACCATCAGAAACTGCTTTCTTCTTCTCCAAGGAAACCTTCCTCAAGCTTGAAGCCTGCTTCCGTCAGCACAGTCAATCTACTGGTTTACCTCAATAATTTACAGCATACTTTGGCATTCCATTCATATTATTGGTTTATCTCACTCATTTTCCTTAGTTTTTTTATAACCAAGAAATGGTATCCTTTACCTATATGCAATTTTTTGTAATTCATTTTTTTCCCTGTAAATCATAACAGGACAAAACAATCAAAGACTTTTTAATATTTGGAAGCCCACATTTGTGTTGGGTCTACGTTTTAGAATCAAATGACTTGTGACGCAAGGTACCTTAGGAGACGATTGTCCCTGATTGTGTGAAATACTATTAATCGAGAAAATGGATAATATAACATTCGTCTCGTGAAAGGGTTCATTGTATAAAAACAGGGAAGTTTATAAGGTTAATAATAGATATGAAAAACTTAAATAATAAAAATCAACCAGTTCTTGGACATGATAGAAATCTCTTTGAGTCTACTTTTTGGTAACCGGCTCTCATCTGCCGTATTCCTAGATTCGTAGTATTCCAAAAGGAATCTGCAGCATCCTTCAATAACGCAACTTTAGATATAGGAGATTTGGCTGATCTCTCCTTGTCCAGTTCAATTTTGAGATCTGACACCTCTTTCTCCAACAACAAAACTCTATCAGAAGCAATAGAAGATTTGGTCTTCTCATTGTCCAGTTCAAGTTTGAGATTCTTAACATGTTCCTCGAGTTCTTGGACCTGAGAACTATCAGAAATTTCATCCTTCCTCACCAAGGAAACCTCCTCAAGCTTTGTCTTTAACCAATCCACCTTGAATCCTGCTTCTGTTAGCTCGCTCAACTCGATGTGAGCGTCTCTAAGCTCAGTCTCTGAAAGACTCCGTGGAGGCCTATCTAGCGTCTCTATAAGACCGAGGAGAACATTCATGTATGCTGTCCTCAACAACTGGTTCTTTATTCTGACATCTACTGCAATGTCTGGATGCTCCCCGAAAATCCAGCTAACCCAAGAGACCTGAAAACAGTAAGGATATAAGCAAAATCAATGTTAACATGATCCAAAACAAGTCTTCATAATAACCAAAACAAATGTTGGATTATGAAACTAGGGGATAATATTTAACATACCTGAGTATAGAGAACATCGAAACCCTCAATATTGAACATCTTCTTCTCAGTTGTTACCCCTCCTTCATGAACAACTTCAACTACTTTTAATTGGACTTCAATGATCAGTTTGTTATTTTCTAAACAATCTTCTTGAAGCTTGGTCATAGGCATTACTTTGGGATGACACCAATCTAATAACTCAAAACAGAAGAGACCTTCTGCTTCTGTTAGGCAAAAAAAAAAAAAAAAGATTTCTCAACCTTTCTTCTTCCGCAATAAGATACATATATATAGTAGAAGATAATTAAGTTAATTACCAAATGTTCTTCCGAGCACTTTGCCCGATTGATTCAACACAATGAATGAATACTTAGCTCTCCTTTCGCATCCATGTAGTAAGGATTCAAGATTCGGAACGCTCAGACTCACAGCCAAGTGATCTTCAATTTGCCAAACCCTAACAAACCTGACAAAGAAAAAAATTACAAACTAATAAGATACATTGATCTTCGAGAACAAGTTTTGTTGAGTCTAGTGAACGAATTTAAGAAAGCAAAGATAAGATTCTTCTCGTTTTACCATTCGCATCCCCCGCTTATGAAATTAGGAGATATCACATCTCTCTTCTCTGAGAAGTTATCTATCTCAAACCTGAAACTCGTCTGCTCATGATTCTCCATATCTCTTCCGAAACGCTTTCTTAGGCTTATGTTACTTGGAAGAATCTCACACGTCTGTTTAATATTTATAGAGGAAACTGAAAACAAAACCAAACTTTATAAAACCCTATCTCAAAAGAAATAAAGAAAAGCTGAAAATTAATTTTAAAATAAATCAGAAGCAATAATTAACTAACCAAATCTAATCATATTCCTCTTTACTAATGTAACAACAGTTCTATAAGTTTTCTCGTTGTTGTCTTGTGAAATTTTTTTTTATTTGATATATTTTTTTTTTGGTAAAAGGAGATTTTTTTAGTTCTATTATCAAAACGCAAAAAGGAGATTATCGCCTGTTTGGAATGGTAGCTATGTAGCAAGATCTTTCAGATATTTCCAAATATTTTTATTGTTTAGATAAACTAAGTGAGGTTAGTTGTGATAATAATGCATATACTAGATTTTAACCCGCGGTACACCGCGGGGCTATATTTTCTTAAAAAAAATCAAAATGTAATTTGTTTGATAGATTATTTTGATTGTTAATTTTAGGATTTCACCCGTGGTATACGATCTTTTATAAATATCAACCCAAACCCGTCCCATCATATTACCCGTCCCGTGAAATTAAACATTATTTAGTTATTTTTCTTTTTAATAATACTTTTATTTAAAAGCTATATAATTCAAATCAATTTAAAAATTTCTTTTAAATGGTTCCCATAAGATATATATACATATATATTAAATTTGTATAGAGTTGAAATAATATTAATATTACAAATTTTTTATATAATTTAAATACTATAAATATTTTTAAAAATATGTAATATATATTTTTTGTTATTGAATAAGAGGATATTATGTGTAAGAAATGTAGAAAATAAGAGTTTAATATTTTTATTATGGAGTCGCAAAAAAAATCTTTTATTTCTATACATGTTATTCATTTATTAATAATAAAAGAAAACAAATCCTTTAAATTAGATATTAACTAAAATAAACGCACCATAATTACTTATTAAGTAACAACCAATAAATTTCACCAAAAAATAGGTAACAACCAATAAATTCTAAACGCAGTAATTAAAGAATGAGATATTAAAAAAAATATATCAAATAAGATATAAAAATCTTAAAATAATTGAACATCTAAATAATTTAAATGTTAGTGTCGATTTTAATGCCTTCATTAATGTGGATTTTTTTTTTTTACAGAGAAATATTTCCTAAAGATAATCACATTAATGACTCAGAAAATTAAGGAAGATATGAATTTATGATTCTCGAAATCGTATTGGTAATATCTTTAAGTAATATTTTTCAAATTTAAATAATTAATGCCAATGGCATTCATCCGTAAATAAGGTCCAACTCCAGGATTTATTTGCTAAAAGTCATTCAAAAATGTTAATTTTCTTTTTAATAATACTTTTATTTAAAAGCTATATAATTCAAGTCAATTTAAAAATTTCTTTTAAATGGTTCCCATAAGATATATATACATATATATTAAATTTGTATAGAGTTGAAATAATATTAATATTACAAATTTTTTATATAATTTAAATATTATAAATATTTTTAAAAATATGTAATATATATTTTTTGTTATTGAATAAGAGGATATTATGTGTAAGAAATGTAGAAAATAAGAGTTTAATATTTTTATTATGGAGTCGCAAAAAAAATCTTTTATTTCTATACATGTTATTCATTTATTAATAATAAAAGAAAACAAATCCTTTAAATTAGATATTAACTAAAATAAACGCACCATAATTACTTATTAAGTAACAACCAATAAATTTCACCAAAAAATAGGTAACAACCAATAAATTCTAAACGCAGTAATTAAAGAATGAGATATTAAAAAAAAAATATCAAATAAGATATAAGAATCTTAAAATAATTGAACATCTAAATAATTTAATTGTTAGTGTCGATTTTAATGCCTTCATTAATGTGGAATTTTTTTTTACAGAGAAATATTTCCTAAAGATTATCACATTAATGACTCAGAAAATTAAGGAATATATGAATTTATGATTCTCGAAATCGTATTGGTAATATCTTTAAGTAATATTTTTCAAATTTAAATAATTAATGTCAATGGCATTCATCCGTAAATAAGGTCTAACTCCAGGATTTATTTGCTAAAAGTCATTCAAAAATGTATATATAGACTAGATTTTAACCCGCGGTACACCGCGGGGCTATATTTTCTTAAAAAAATCAAAATGTAATTTGTTTGATAGATTATTTTGATTGTTAATTTTAGGATTTCACCCGTGGTATACTATCTTTTATAAATATCAACCCAAACCCGTCCCATCATATTACCCGTCCCGTGAAATTAAACATCATTTAGTTATTTTTCTTTTTAATAATACTTTTATTTAAAAGCTATATAATTCAAGTCAATTTAAAAATTTCTTTTAAATGGTTCCCATAAGATATATATACATATATATTAAATTTGTATAGAGTTGAAATAATATTAATATTACAAACTTTTTATATAATTTAAATATTATAAATATTTTTAAAAATATGCAATATATTTTTTTTTGTTATTGAATAAGAGGATATTATGTGTAAGAAATGTAGAAAATAAGAGTTTAATATTTTTACTATGGAGTCGCAAGAAAAATCTTTTATTTCTATACATGTTATTCGTTTATTAATAATAAAAGAAAACAAATCCTTTAAATTAGATATTAACTAAAATAAACGCACCATAATTACTTATTAAGTAACAACCAATAAATTTCACCAAAAAATATGTAACAACCAATAAATTCTAAACGCAGAAATTAAAGAATGAGATATTAAAAAAAAATATCAAATAAGATATAAGAATCTTAAAATAATTGAATATCTAAATAATTTAATTGTTAGTGTCGATTTTAGTGCCTTCATTAATGTGAATTTTTTTTTTTACAGAGAAATATTTCCTAAAGATTATCACATTAATGACTCAGAAAATTAAGGAAGATATGAATTTATGATTCTCGAAATCGTGTTGGTAATATCTTTAATTAATATTTTTCAAATTTAAATAATTAATGTCAATGGCATTCATCCGTAAATACATTCCAACTCCAGGATTTATTTGCTAAAAGTCATCCAAAAATGTATATATAGATTTGTCATCATTTACTAATAATTTTAGTGAAGACATGTATTTCAATTTAGATACATATATTAATTTCATTCTGTAATACAGAAATAAGAGACGAATTTAAATGTTATTCTTCATCAAATTAATTAGATAAATATACATGTATATATTATGACTCTCGCAGATTCAAAAACATGGAAGATAATAAATTCTTTACCAGAACGTTACAAGCCTAAAGAACAAGTTATATGTTAAATCTAAATAGATGAGTTGGTTATCGCTGCTTCCTTCTTTGAGAAATTATCCATCTCAAACGTGAAAATATGGAATCCGATTGGAACACTTTAACCCAAAACATGATCGAACGAAAAACATCCAGAAGTGACGCAGATAATAAAAACAGAGAATAAAACCACCAACAACTAGGTCTTTGACTAAGCAAGTCTTTAGACTACTATAATTCATAAAGCAAAATAAAAACGAAATAAATTAAACGATAATAGTGTCTACTAAAGAAAATCTATAAAAACTAATCATTTGATCTTAACATCAAGCAAACTCGTCGACCAACAAAAATCCATCATCACAAGATTTGTCCTTTTTTTTGTCCAGTTCAACTTTGAGGTCCAACACCATCAGCTCAAGGTTCTTGAAGCATTGCTCGATTTGTTGGACCCGAGACCTATCATCATCGTCTGATTTCTTTCTCTCCAAGAAAACCTCCTCAAGCTTTGACTTCAAACAGTCCAATTCCATAAGCTCAAGATTCTTAACACGTTCCTCGATTTTTCGGACCCGAGACCCATCAGCTTCATCTGATTTCTTCCTCTCCAAAGAAACCTCCTCAAGTTTTGACTTCAAACTGTCAAGCTTAAAGTCCAATTCCATAAGCTCAAGATTCTTAACACGTTCCTCGATTTTTTGGACCCGAAACCCATCAGCATCATCTGATTTCTTCCTCTCCAAAGAAACCTCTTCAAGATTTGACTTCAAACTGTCAAGCTTAAAGTCCAATTCCATCAACTCAAAATTCTTAACACGTTCCTCGAGTTGTTGGACCCGAGACCAATCAGCATTTGCTTTCTTATTCTCCAATGAAACTTCCTCAAGCTTTGATTTCAAACAGTCCAACTCCATCAGCTCAAGATTCTTGAGGCGTTCCTCTAGTTGTTGGACCCGAGACAAATCAGCATCTGCTTTCTTCTTGTCCAACGAAACTTCCTCAAGCTTTGATTTCAAACAGTCCAACTCCATCAACTCAAGATTCTTGAGGCGTTCCTCTAGTTGTTGGAGCCGAGACCCATCAGCATCATCTCGTTTCTTGCCCTTCAAGGAAACCTCAAAATTCTTAACAGCTTCCTTACTTTGTTGGACCCTATACCAACCAGCATCTTCTTTCTTCCTATTCATGGAAACCTCATCAAGCTTTTTCCATAACCAACCCAGCTTGAATCCTGCTTCCGTCAGCTCGCTCAAATTGCTGTGAGCGTCCCTTAGCTCAGTATCCAAGAGAATCTGTGGAGGCTTGTTTAGTGTCTCGATGAGGACGAGGAGGACATTCATGTATGCTGTCTTCACCAATTTGCTCTTTAGTCTGAAATCTACTGCAATGTCTGGGTGCTCCGCAAAAATCAAACTCACCGCGCTAAGCTGCCAACGAGAAAGATGTAATTAAGTTAACCAAATAGTATACATGATCACTGGAAACGTCTTAACCAGGAAAAAGATCGGAAACTCCTTAACATACCTGAGTATAAAGAACCTGGAAACCCTTGAAATCTACCATCTCCTTCCCAGTTACCTCTCCTACATGAACAACTTCAACTACTTTTACTTCCACCTTAATGATCAGTTTGTCGTTCTCTAAAAACCCTTCTTCTTTAAGCTTGCTAAGAGGCAATAGTTTGGGATAACCCCAGGCTGAGACCTCAGTGCAGAACAGGTCGCATGATTCTAAAAAACATTAATAAACAAACAGATTTACCAACTTAATTATATTTTTCTCCAAAAAAAAGTTGATGATAAGTTTATTACCAGGTGTTCTTTTGAGCTCTTTGCCTGATTGATTAAACAGAATGAATGAATAATTAACTCTCCTTTTCCATCCAGGTCGTAATGATTGAGGATTCGCAACGTGAAGATATACAGACACGTGATCTTTGTTAAAGTATCCATTCGTATAAACTTTAACAAACCTGAGAAAGAAAAAAATACAAAGATTAATTAAATCCCTTTTCTTATACAAACTAATAATTAGATACCTTAATAAAGTTTTTTTTGTTGAATCTAGTAAACGAATTTAACAAATATGAATATCTGATTCTTCTTGTTTACCATTGGCATTGGCCGCTTATGAATATAGGAGACGCTATCACATATTTCTTCTCGGAAAAGTTATCTATCTCAAAGGTGAAACAACTCGTCTTCTGATGATTCTCCATATCTCGTTAAAACGCTTTCTTAGGTTTTGTTATTTGGAGCAAAAAAAGACTTTCTCACAAAACTTTTTTTTGATACTTTAAACCTAAACCCTTCTCTATCTATCTAATATATATAGAGGAGACTAATTGGAACAATAACCAAACTTTATCTTGACCATTATAAAAGGAAAAAATAAAAACAAACTTTATAAAACCCTATCTCAAAAGCAACAAGGAATGCTAAAAATTATTTTTTTAATAAATAAAATCAAAGTCAACTACATAAGTTTTCTCGGAGTCTCGTGGATTTGAGATCGACACGAATTCTATTGCCTAAGCTCACTAACAAAGAGACTCAGTAATTAGGACTAGGAGATTATATCCATGATGGCTCTTGCTTAGTTGCATAAGAGCAACATTATTGGTAGTCTCTTAATATTGGCTCTTAGCATTAGATGATGGACACTTAGCTAAGAAACACTTTTTAACCCACCAAATGTCTCTTAGCTAAGAGACATTCATAACAATCTTAAGATATTTGTTTTATTTTTATCTATTTTAAGCTAAGATTTTTTTCTAAGATCTTCCTAAGAGACTACCATTAATGATGGTCTAACAAATGGTGGAATTGGAAAAGGTTCTGCATGCATGTAGAGTTTGGTAGAAATAGTCCTTTTTTTTTTTTTTTTTTTTTGAGATAGTCCTTTTGGTAGCTCTAAAGGAGAGGGCCTCCTCCATGTAATCCAATTGGAAAGTGTTCATCTTTTTTCGCCAAATTAGATACATATGTATGAATATTTTTTGCCTCTCACACACACTCACACTTTCTCTATCTCTCACACTCTCACGGTTTCACCAATTATGAATAGTGACTGTATCACTTTTCTAATTAAGTTTCCAAAATGTACTACTTTACAAACAAACCCATTTCTTTACCAGATGTTTTGTAGAGATAAAACAACATGAACTTTAGAAATCCTCCCACCTTAAACAAAAACGTCTAAAAGGGACGCATGTAAAACAAAGAATGAAAACCATCAACAAAATAAAAGCAAAAAAATAATTAAAAAGGAAACGAACTAATAAAACTTGATCTCTCCATCAAGCAACCAACAAAAATCCATCAGCAGAAGATTTGGCCTTCTCGTTGTCCAGTTCAACTTTGAGATCTGACACCATTAGCTCAAGATTCTTCACTCTATCCTCTAGTTCTTGGACCTGAGACCCATCAGCATCTGCAGTCTTCTTCTTCTCCAAAGAAACTTCCTCAAGCTTTGACTTCAAGTTGTCCAGCCTCAAGCCACTTTCCATCAGCTCATGATCCTTGATACGTTCCTCGAGTTGCTGGACACTGTTAGAATTGAGTCCATGATTAAATCTTCTAATATCATATGTGTTAGTTTGTATGTAAAGTCAACGGATGTAATGTGTTACATATGACTTACCACGAACGGGTGTGAGTAAGAGACGTAACTTGTCGGAGAAGTTACAACTGTTACCAACGGTTACGTGGAGTAGTTATGTAAACATGTATATAAGTGTGTATGTCTTGTCGAGTAAAAATAACAAGTTTCAGTTCAATTAAAAGTTTCTGTTCTAGTTCTTGTCTTCTTCAAAAGAGAAGAGATCATTATCTCTTACTCTGTTTTCTCATTCCTTCAAAACACCAACATGGTATCAGAGCTTATCTTGGTCTTGGAGCCTGTCCAAGTAAAACAAAGATAAGAAGAATTCCGCTGCGAGAAGAAGAGAAAGATGGAGCCAACATTTCTTACGGTTAGAAACCGAAAAAAAAAAAAAAAAAAAAAAAGGAGAAAAAGAAGAAGAAGAAGAAGACGTAATAGAAAAGGAAGAACAAGAAGAGGTGGTAACAAGAGAGAGTACCATCAGCCTTCACAAACACATTCACATGAAGTACCTTCAAGAGGAAGGCTCCAAAAGCGATGAAGAAGATAGGAAATCTTCTCTAAAGGCAATGTAGAAAACGGATGTGGATTTGGAGTTGTAGAAGGAGAATTCTGAAACTTTGTTCAAAGAGGTCTTGGTGAAACAAGACGGGGAAGCCGCCTGTGTAAGAAACAGAGCAAGGCTTATTAACAAAGGTGTTGTTGAGTTGTGAAGAACACTGCAACACGGAGTAAGCTTCTGTTGGGAGAACAGTGCAAGGCTACTCAGCAAAAAGGTTCAAGGGAACTGATGAGACGTCATCAAGACGTGATGGTGATCAAAAGAGGACACCATAAGAGGATGCTTACCTCGGAGAAAAATGGAGCACAAGAGGATGCTTACCTCGGAGAAAAATGGAGCATAAGTCGGTTGAAGAGTAAACCGAAGACGACTTGGAAGAGTTCACGCACAGATTTGGAGATCAAGAGGACACCAAAAGGAAATAAGAAGAAATCTCACTTAAAAGAAAGTGAGTAAAAAAAAAAAAAGAGGTTTCGAGAACAACCGGAGAAGACGTGACAAAGCTCACGTGAAAAAAATTTTGAAGGTGACAAAGGAGAAGCCTTGTGGGAAAGAGAAATCTCAAAAGTGTGCAACGTCAAATACAAGTAGCAAAGAAGGTGTTCTGCACGTAACAAGCCAGGGCACGTGGTGAAGAAAGGTTAGGAAGGCCGAGAGAGCGTACCTAAGCCTAGAAGAAACAGATTATGAGGATCATATGCTGTTTAGTGCAGTTGAAGAAAGATCATCATCAAACGTGAATGATGAGACATGGAAAAGGGAAATATCCAAGTGATGACAAGCCAAGAAGAGAAGATCATCAAAGAGGTGTTTCTAATTCCGGGTTTAGCGAGAAATCTGTTGAGTGTTTCTAAAACAAGAAGTTACCAAAGGATAATAAGGTGATTCAACTCCACAGCACCTGCAGAAAAGAAAGAGCTGTGTTCGATTAAGGAGAATCGAAACAGGGCGAGGTGGAGAAGAAGTGTTCACGAAAGAGGAAAATCGATGAGTGAAGCATCCGATCAAGAGGGAGACACAGAAGGAATGCTTACTAGTAAACTATGGCATCGTCGTGAAAGGGATTTGACCAGAGAAGTGGCAAAGCACCAGAGGCGAAGAAGAAACTATGGGATTGAAATCCCTAGATTGAAATTAGGGATTTAATCAAAGGACTCAAGAGGGAGTGTTAGAATTGAGTCCATGATTAAATCTTCTAATATCATATGTGTTAGTTTGTATGTAAAGTCAACGGATGTAATTTGTTACATATGACTTACCAGGAACGGGTGTGAGTAAGAGACGTAACTTGTCGGAGAAGTTACAACTGTTACCAACGGTTACGTGGAGCAGTTATGTAAACATGTATATAAGTGTGTATGTCTTGTCGAGTAAAAATAACAAGTTTCAGTTCAATTAAAAGTTTCTGTTCTAGTTCTTGTCTTCTTCAAAAGAGAAGAGATCATTATCTCTTACTCTGTTTTATCATTCCTTCAAAACACCAACAGACCCGAGACCAATCAGCATCTGTGTTCTTCTTCTTCATTGAAACTTCCTCAAGCTTTGACTTCAAACTGTCCAGCCTCAAGCCATTTTCCATCAGCTCAAGATCCTTGACTCGTTCCTCGAGTTGCTGGAACCGAGACCGATCAGCATCATATGATATCTTCCTCTCTAAGGAAATTTCATCAAGTTTTGACTTCAAACAGTCCATCTTGAAGTCAAATTCCATCCCCTCGAGATTCTTGAGGCGTTCCTCGAGGTCTTGGGCCCAAGATTCATCATCATCATCATCATCATCATCATCATCATCATCATCATCATCATCATCATCTTCATCTGCTATCTTATTATCCAAGGGAACTTCACTAGTCTCATGATATCCTTTCTTTCTCTCCAAGGAAACTTCACCAATCTTTGACTTCACCCAGTCCATCTTTACTTCCGCTAGCTCACTAACCTTGCTGTAAGCGTTTCTTAGGATATTCATGTATTCTTTCTTGAACACTTGGTTCTTTGGTTTGAACTCTTCTGCAATTTCTGGGTGCTCTGCGAATATCTTTCTCATTAAAGTAACCTGCCAAGGAAAACATGTTTTTGTTACTCAGAAAAAGAATCTGAATCTATACGCAAATTAAAGACGCAACCCTATAAAGCAAAGCATCTATTGAAAAACAGAAAAAGAGACGGATCCTTTTAAACTTGCCTGAGAAGCATAATCCTCGGAATTGATAATATCCACAGTCTCTTTCTTCTTTGATACGCCTCCGCCTTCTCCGTCCACAGCTTCAACAACTTTGATGTAGACTTCAATGATGAGTCTGTCCTTCTCCAAAAACCCTTTTTCCTCAAACTTGCTAAGAGGCAAGATCTTTCGGAAACCCCAGCCTGGACCCTCAACGCGAAACAAATAGGGTTCTTGTCCAACTGCGAATCATTAACAGAAAAGACATAAAACACATTTGGGTCTTATAAGTTAAATACGATGTGAAATATTCTTATTAGTATACCATCGATCTACAGAAATTAATAAACATGGAAGGATATAGCTTCATTACCAGGTGATCTGTAGAGCTCTTTTTCAGATTGATTCAGAACAGAGAAGTAAAAGTTAGCACTCCGTTTCCATCCACTTCCCAATGATGTACGATTTGCAACGTATAGGAACAAAGACATGTGGTCACCCTCCGAATAGAGGTAGATGAACCTGAAAGAATATAAAACAAAGATTAAGTAAAACCTAGTGCTACGTACAATCGAATTCATCAATTTTTCGAGAAAACGTTATTCTTGAATATACATAGAGAATTGAATAACAAAGCTAATGAAATATCTGATTCTTCTCGATTTACCATTCGCATCCGCCACTCACGAATGCCTGAGACGCTATCGTATCTTTCTTCTCCGAGAAGTTATCTATCTCAAACCTAAAACACGGCTTTTGATTCCACATAGGCATAGCTGACCAAAAACGCTTTCGTGGATTTTTGTTACTTTGAGCAAGACGAATTTCTTAGATACTTTGTTTGTTACTTTCACGCATAAAAGTCCTCTTTTTATAGAAAAAGAAACACCGTCTTAAAACCCTAGCTCAAAAAGAAAACTGAGAAATATAAATCAATAAATAAAATAATTAATAAACCCATACTTATCTAGACTAAAAATTAAATAATCATTCCTCTCTTCTTTGATATACAAGTACTTCTAATTTCTATATTTTCTATTTACGACTTTTATTAAAATAAATTTTACTTTTTCTACTAATGTAAAAATTCCCTTTTCTATGATATTCTACTTTTTCTAGTAAAATAAAATTTACTTTTTCTACTAATGTAAAATTGTAATGTAATAAATTTTACTTTTTCTATGATATTCTACTCCCTCTTTCCAGTGCCACAAAACAAAGGTAAATCTTCTCAGAAGTATGTTGGTTGTGGCACTATGTGGGAAGGGAAGCCATACAATAATCGCCAGCCAATCTCCTGAGGTGGAGGATATGATGAGCAGTACAAGTAACATGAGAATTTGGTTTGCTGGTTAATTTTGGGATTGGATCAGAACAAATTAACCCAAAATATGATCAAAAGAAAATTCCCAAAAGTGGCAAATATAAAACAAAAAAATGAAACCATCTCCTTAACCATGTCTTTTCAATTAAGCAAAAACTCTAGTATTAGGATTCAGAAAGCAATAAAACCAAAACAAAGGAAACGCGGGTATTGTCTACTTGAGAAATTCTCTATAAAACTTGATCTCTACGTCAACAAACCTAGTCAACCAACAAAAATCCATCAGCGGAAGATTTGGCCTTCTCGTTGTCCAGTTCAACTTTGAGATCCGACACCATTATCACATGATTCTTGACGCTTCCCTCTAGTTGTTGGACCCCAGCATCTGCTTTCTTCTTCTCCAGGGAAACTTCCTCAAGCTTTGACTTCAAACAGTCCAACTTCAAGTCCAATTCCATCAGCTCGAGATTCTTGAGGCGTTCCTCTAGTTGATGTACCCGAGACCAATCAGCATCATCTGATTTCTTCCTCTCCAAGGGAACCTCCTCAATCTTTGTCTTCAAAGGGTCCATCTTAAAGTCCAAATCCACCGGCTCAAGTTTTTTAACATCAACATCTGCTTTCTTCCTCTTCAAGGAAACTTCATCAAGCTTTAATTTCAACCAGTCCAGCTTGAAACCCACTTCCACCAGCTCACTCAACTCGCTGTGAGCATTTCTTAGCTCAGTCTCTGAGTGATTCTGTGAAAGTTTGTTAAGTGTCTCAATGAGGTTGAGGAGGACATTCATGTATACTGTCTTCACCACTTGGTTTTTTACTTTTAAATCTTCTGCTAGGTCAGGGTGCTCCTCGAATATCTTCGTCACTGGAGTAACCTACCAAGGAAATGTATGTTTCAATCTATAAGCCGAGAAGCAACCCTTATAGACAAGTATTTTATTCAAAAACAGATCCTTTTGACTTTACCTGAGTAGCAACAACGTGAAAACCATTGATATCCACAGTTTCCTCCTTCTGTGATGATACATCTTCTTCTTCTCCATCAAAAGCTTCAACAATATTAATGTAGACTTCAATGATGAGTCTGTCGTCCTCCAAAAGTCCTGTTTTCTGAAACTTGCTAAGAGACAAGAAATATCGCCAACCCCACGATGGACTCGCAGCGCAAAACGGGGTGCTTTCTTGTCCTCCAACTGTCAAACATTAACCAAAAAAAAAGGCAAATAAAAATATATATATAGAAAATTGAACTGAACTTCTTCATCAGTCACATGGTTATGTATTAACAATTGGGGATATCTCGTTCCTCTATGAAGCTAGATACTTGTAGCTGTGATCTTAGGGTTGGTTTGGATGATATTCACAGGTTCAAGATCCCTATGACTCCACTTGTTTAACATTATTTGTTTTTTGGAACCAACAAGTTCTCTCTAGAGCATGTGAGCATGCATAAAACGTTTGTAAAATTTCAAAACAAAAATGAAACATGGAAGCACATAAATTCATTACTTGGTGATCTGTAGAGCTCTTTGTCGGATTGATTCAACAGAACGAAGTAAAAGTTAGCAATCCTTTTCCATCCACTTCTCAAAGATTTAGGATTTGCAACGTTCACGTACAAAGACAAGTAATCATCAAGTTTAACAACTCCATCTCCCTTTGGATAAAGTTTGAGACACCTGAAAGAATATACAACAAAGATTATATTAGTCGAATTCATCAAATTCTGAAGAACACGTTATTCTTGAATACAGAGAGAGCGATAGAATTTAATAAGAAGCTAATTAAAGTTCTGATTCTTCTCGATTTACCATTCGCATCCGCCGCTCACGAACACCTGAGACGTTATGACAGATTTCTTCTCCGAGAAGTTATCTATCTCAAATCTGTAACTCGGCTTTTGATTCCACATATTTGATGAAAACGCTTTCGTAAACTTTGTTACTTCGAGCAAAGGAAATGTTTGTTTGATATTTTCACACAGAAAAAGTCCTCTATTTATAGATACGGCAAAACGAAAAATAAAAGACTTTCTCAAAACCCTCCAAAGGAAAAATAAAAATTAAATTTATAATTTATTAAAAGCAATGGATATGTTAGACAAAAATGCCAATCCTATCTTCATAAGATAATTACGTCTTTATTTTTTTATGTAATTTTTATAATGTATAGCTACGAATGTCATAAATTTATATAATATATTTTTACATTTTAACTTATCGATAGTTTGTCCGCTGAAACTACTGCATGTTCCTGAAGTCTTTATACTATTCGGATTTTCAGTGTTTGTAGTTTGAGCGTGAAAACGTTGATTACTCTCTTCCCAAACCTTATAGATATATAGTTAAACTACCAAAGAAAAGAGTTACAGAGAAGGAACTTAGTTTCAAAAGAGATTCTCCAACTGAGATAGATAAATCAAATCAGAAACATCGTTTAACAAGTGGCCAAAAATAGAGGAGGAAGTCTCAAAGTTATTGGTGTTAGTTGTATAATCTGAGCGTTGAATCTAGATGGATGAGTTTTAAAAATGTATATATCTCTTCTTCTTTCTTTGAGAAGTTACTTGCTGCTTAATTTGGGAGTTGATTCAGAACGCATATATTAACCCAACATAAATGGCGCAGATTAAAAAAAAAAAAAAAAAGAATGTAGAGATATTAGGAATCATAAAGTAACATAAAAACAAAAACAAAGAAGACTGAAGGTATTAATGTCTACTAGAGAATTTCTCTATCGACTAAATCTAACTTGATCTCTCTACGTCAATCAACCTCGTCGATCAACAAAAAACCATCAGCAAAAGATTTGGCCTCCTCCTTGTCCATTTTAACTTTGAGATCTGACACCATCATCTCAAGATTCTTGATGCGTCCTTCCATTTCTCTGACTCGAGAACCATCAACATCATCTGATTTCTTCCTCTCCAAGGAAACCTCCTCAAGCTTTGACTTCAAACAGTCTAGCTTGAAGTCCAATTTCATCTGCTCAAGATTCTTAAGACGTTCATCGAGTTGTTGGACATCAGCATCTGCTTTCTTCCTCTTCAAGGAAACCTCATCAAGCTTTGACTTCAACCATTCCAGTTTGAAGCCTGCTTCCGTCAGCTCACTCAACTTGCTGTGAGCATTGCTTAGCTCAGTCTCTGAGTGATCCTGTGAAGGCTTGTTAAGTGTCTCAATGAGGTTGAGAAGGACATTCATGTATTCCGTCCTCACTACTTGGTTCTTTGGTTTGAAATCATCTGCGAGGTCTGGGTGCACAGCGAATAGCTTCCTTGCCGGAGTAATCTACCAAGATGATAAAGTATGCATGTTTATGTTACTCAGAAAAGGAATATGAATATACACGCCAAGAAGAAAGAAACCCTATACGTTGAGGAAGTGATTAGTTATTCAAAAAAAGATCCTTCTAATTTACCTGAGAAGCAAGAACTTGAAAACCGTTGATGTCCACAGTTTCCTTCTTCTCTAATACATCTCCTCTTTCTCCATCAAAAGTTTCTACAATTTGAATGTAGACTTCAACGATGAGTCTGTCATTCTCCAAAAACCTTTTTTTCTTAAACTTGCTACGAGGCAAGGTCTTTCTAAAACCCCAGCTCATGGAATTTGTCTGAAATGTGTGCTGTTCAACTATATGAAACATAAACAAAAAAGACCAAAAAAAAAAAAGAGAGTTAGCTTCTTATGTAGATTCAAATCTTTTATTGATTAACCACAATTACTAAGAAAAAAAAAAGAATAGAAACAAGATTCACGCATGGAAAGGATATAGCTTCATTACTTGGTGATCTGTAGAGCACTTTGTCGGATTGATTCAACAGAACGAAGTAAAAATTAGCAATTCGTTTCCATCCACTTCTAAATGACTTAGAATTTGTAACGTACAGGTACAACGACAAGTGATCATGACAAAGACTATTTCCCTTCGGATAAAGGTCGATATACCTGAAAGAATATAAAACAAAGATGAAACCCTTTTTGATTAGTGCTACGTACAATCAAATTAATCAATAGCAAAAATTCTTGAATCTTCTCGTTTAATAGCAAAACTAATTAAAGTTCTGAGTCTTATCGTTTTACCATTCGTATCCGCCACTCACGAATACCTTTGATACCGTGGACACTTCCTTCTTCGAGAAGTTATCTATCTCAAACCTGAAACTCGGCTTTTGATTCCACATCTTTGACCTAATTTTGTTAATTCGAGCAAACTACAAACTCTCAGGAGCTTTGTTTGGTAAAACCCTCTCTTTTTATAGAGGAAAAAAGAAAATAATCACTTCTTAAAGAAAACAAATAAATAAATCTATATATACATTTTTGAATACAATTATGAAATAAATCCTGGCTTTCACTACTATTTACAATGGAATGCCATTGGATTTAATTCTTCAGATTTGGAAAATTAAATAAAAGATATGAAAAAAAGATTTTGGCTCCAAAGATCTTGCTTAAATATGATGTTTCCTTTTTTTGTTAACGATTTTAAAGCAAGTTTTGTTAGATTTCTGTTTGTTTTCTTAATTAGTTAATTTACACTAATTGTATTTGATTAATTTTTTTTTGGTCGTAACTATGATTCATAATCAACACTAAACTTAGATTTTTAGTTGGTTTTGATTATAACTATAGTAAGCAACATCTATATATTATTACTTTATTATAATAAAAACATTACAACTATATGTTTTTTAAAGCAAACTTATAAATTGACTCGAATTGTATATGTTTTTAAATAAAAATATTATTAAAAAGAAATATAACAAAATGATGTTTAATTTCATGGGACGGGTTATATGGTGGGACGGGTTTGGGTCGATATTAATACGGTATATGTAAGTATATTTAACCAAACAAAACAATAGGTTATATCTATAGATAATTTTCAAACTTTTGTTTAAAGTATAGCTCCCGCGGTACACCGCGGGTTAAAATCTAGTAAATAACACTTCTCAAAGCCCTAACTCAAAAGAAACCAGTATTGTGCGGCTAATCGGATATCTGTTGATGGGTTTTATGGCCCATTAATAAAAAGAATATATACTAGTCCGTGCAACTTGACTGTTAAAACGCAAACCGAGATCTGATTAGTGATTAAAGAATGAGAATACATCAACTAATTTCAAACCTTCTTAAGCGAATGGTCCAAACACAGAGGAGGAATGTCCCAAGTTGATGGTGTTAATTAATATGAGCGTTGAATCAAAAGACAAACATCTTCTTCTCCTTTTGCCATTTGATGACCGCTAAGGAAAATCTATGAAACGGTAGAGCTTCCACATATCTTTGAGAAGTTATCGATATCAAATGTGAAAATTTAGTGAGCTCAAGGAGAATTGATTTGCTCGTTAATTTTGGGGTACTGGATCATAACACAATAACGAAAAATATGATTGAAAGAAAATACCCAAAAGTGGTGCAGATAAAACAAAGAATAAAACCATCAACATAAGCTGTCATTCGATAAAGCCTAATCTCTAGACTAATAGTATCTCTACGTACATCAATCAACCTAGTTGATCAACAAAAAACCATCATCAGAAGATATGGCCTTCTCTTTTCCCAGTTTAGCTTTGAGATCTGACACCATCATCTCAAGATTCTTGATGCGTCCCTCCATTTCTTTGACTCGAGAACCATCAGCATCATCTGATTTCTTCCTCTCCAAGGAAACCTCCTCAATCTTTGTCTTCAAGCAGTCCAGCTTGAAGTCCAATTTCATCATCTCATTCTTAACACGTTCATCAATTTGTTGGACATCAGCATCTGGTTTCTTCCTCTTCAAGGAAACCTTACCAAGCTTTGACTTCAACCATTCCAGCTTGAAGCCTGCTTCCGTCAGCTCACTCAACTTGCTGTGAGCATTGCTTAGCTCAGTCTCCGAGTGATCCTGTGAAGGCTTGTTAAGTGTCTCAATGAGGTTGAGAAGGACATTCATGTATTCCGTCCTCACTACTTGATTCTTTAATTTGAAATCAACAGCTAGGTCTGGGTGCTCTGCAAATATCTTCCTTGTGGGAGTAACCTACCAAGATAAAGTAATATAAATATATACGCCAAGAAGAAAGAAACCCTAAAAATTAAGGAAGTGATTAATTCTTCAAAAACAGATCCTTCTAATTTTTACCTGCGAAGCAAGAACTTGAAAACCGTTGATATCCACAGTCTCTTTCTTCTCTGATACATCTCCTCTCTCTCCATCAAAAGATTCTACAATTTGAATGTAGACTTCAACAATGAGTTTGTCGTTCTCCAGAAACCCTTCTTCCTGAAAAAAGCTAAGAGGCAAGGTCTTTTGGATACCCCACGTCAGGGACTCTGCATGAAAATCTATGTGCTCTTGAACTATATGAAACATAAGCAAAAAGAAAATAAAGAGAGTCAGCTTATTATATAGATTCAACACAAAGAGTAAAAACAAGATTCAAGCATGGAATAATATATATAGGTTAATTACCATATGATCTATAGAGCACTTGGTCGGATTGATTCAAAAGAAGAAAGTAAAAATTAGCAGTCCTTTGCCATCCACTTCCCAATGGTTTAGAATTTGTAGCGTGCAGGTACACAGACAAGTAATTATCATAAGGATAATCTTCGTCCATCGGATAAACGCCGAGATACCTGAAAGAATATGATACAAAATATTAAAACCTTTTTGGTGTTTTTATATATTAAAAACTTTTTGATTAGTGCTATAAGTACAATCAAATTCATCAATTTTCGAGTATAAGAGTTCCGAGTCTTGTCGTTTTACCATTCGTGTCCGCCACTCACGAATACCTTTGACACCATGGCAATTTCCTTCTCCGAGAAGTTATCTATCTCAAACCTGAAACTCGGCTTTTGATTCCACAAATTCCACATCTTTGACCTAAACGCTTCCTTTGATCTTGTTAATTCGTACAAAAGACGAAACCCTCACAAGTTTTGTGTGGTAAAAACCCTCTCTATTTATAGAAGAGGCAAAAAGAAAAGAAACCCTTCTCAAAACCCTAACTCGAGAAGAAACCAATTACGTACTACCAAAACCTCAAATAATAATATAACTGTGCGGCTAATCGGACATCTGTTAATGAGCTTTTGGGCCCAGTAATAAAAAGAATATACTAGTCCGTGCAACCAAAGAACCCTACTCTACGTTTTTTTTTTTTTTTTTTTTTCTACCTCTATTTCGTTATGCATGTGTTAATATTTTAATAATAGTGTTATAAACAGCTGAGAGATGATATCGGTCATGTGTGTTAATATTGTTAACATAAGTATGTCTGTCATATGGGAATGATACTTTCATGGTTTACATAATTACGGTGACCATGGGTCTTGAGTCTTGACTCTTGATGTTTCCAGAAAATCTAATGGCCCTCTTCATGCAAAGATACACAGTTCTCAATTGTTTCAACTGTGTATCTAATACTTGGTGAGCGCAAGGAGAACTGATTTTGGTTGGCACATTAACCCAAAATATAATTGAACGAAAATATCCAAAAGTAGGCGCAGAGAAAATTAATAAAGCATAAAACCATCAACATAAGCAGGTCTTTCGATAAAGCCTAATCACTAGACTATTAGAATCTCTACGTCAATCAACCTCGTCGACCAGCAAAAAACCATCAGCAGAAGATTTGGCCTCCTCCTTGCCAAGTTTAACTTTGAGATCCAACACCACCATCTCAAGGTTCTTGAAGCATTCCTCGAGTTGTTGGACCCGAGACCTATCAGCATCATTTGATTTCTTCCTCTCCAAGGAAACCTCCTCAAGCTTTGTTTTCAAATCCAAGTTCATCAGCTCAAGTTTTTTAACACGTTCATCGAGTTGTTGGACATCAGCATCTGCTTTCTTCCTCATCAAGGAAACCTCATCAAGCTTTGATTTCAACCATTCCAGCTTGAAGCCTTGTTCCATCAGCTCACTCAAATTGCTGTGAGCATTGCTTAGATCAGTCTCTGAGTGATTCTGTGAAGGCTTGTTAAGTGTCTCAACGAGGTTGAGAAGGACATTCATGTATTCCTTCTTCACCACTTGGTTCTTTGGTTTGAAATCTTCTGCAAAATCTGGGTGCTCTGTGAATATCTTTCTCCGTTTCTCGCTGAAATAACCTGCCAAGGAAAAATATGTTTATGTTACTCAGAAAGGAATCTGACTAAGCAACCACAAAAGGCACAAAACCTAAAAGAAGAAACAGATCCTTTTTAAGCTTACCTGAGAAGCAAGAACTTGAAAACCGTTGATATCCACAGTCTTTTTCTTCTCTGATACAACTTCAACTCTACTAATGTAAACTTCAACGGTGAGTCTATCCTTCTCCAAAAACACTTTTTCCCGAAGCTTTCTATGAGGCAAGGTCTGTGCAAAACCATAGCCTGTAGACTTAGCACAAAACAAACCCTGTCCAACTGTGAAACATAGACAAAAAAAAAAAGACAGAAAAAGTTAACTTTCATTAATCACAGGCTTACGTATAGTTGCTGCCTAATCAAGATTCAAAACATGAGTTTAGGCCTATCAACAACAGCCTGAGTAATTGGAAAGATTTGGATGCAAACCAAGTCCATAAAAACCCTTGAGTATAAGTTTATAACTCATCACAAAAGCTAAATGAAAAGTTTGGTGTCTCTGGGTCTTATAAGCTAGTTAGATATTTTTTTCCCTTTGGGTCTTATAATCTAGATTCAATGTGAGCTATTTTTCTTAGTTCACCGCCTGTATGTAGAAATATACCTCAATTCATAAACGCAAACGAAAATTCAACAAAAAGAAAAAGGAAATTAAAAAAAAAAATCAAACATAGAATCGAAGGATACATTACTTGGTGATCTGTAGAGCTCTTTGTTGGATTGATTCAACAGAACGAATTGAAAAGTACATTCACTTCCCAATGATTTAGGGTTTGCAATGAATAGGTAAATAGGCAAGTGAACATCAGAGCGACTATCTCCCTTCGGATAAACGTAGAGATACCTGCAAGAGTATAAAACCAAGATTTCACTTTTTTTGGTGTTTTTATTAAATCCTTTTTGATTAGTGCTACGTAAACAAAGAATTCATTAATTTTTGATAACAGGTTATTCTTGAATATAGAGAAAATCAAATTAAAAACTAGTTAAAGATCTGATGATTCTTCTCGTTTTACCATTCGCATCCATGACTCATGAATGTCTGAGACTTTATCGCTGATTCCTTCTCCGAGAAGTTATTTATCTGAAACCTGAAACTCGAATTCCTCTGCACTTGTTTCTGCCCCATAGTTGATTCAAAAGCTTTCTTAGGGTTTGTTACTTTGAGAGCAAAAGACGAAATTATTAAAAACTTTGTTTGCTACTTTCACAGGTAAAGGCGTAAAGCCCTCTATTTTTATAGAGAGGCACAAGGAAAAACTTCTCAATTAAAGCTCTAGCTCAAAAAGGAAACCAACAGGAAAAACTTATCAAACGATGTCGAAAAAAGAATGTCAAAAAAAGAAAAACTTCTCAAAGCCCTAGCTCAAAAAGGAAACCAATTACTATCCGCCTATCCGGCCACGGAGTAATTAAGTAAACCTAAAATAATTTTACTCCTCTCTTAATAATTTAACTACGTATTTGTGAGGCTATATTAATAATTTTACTCCTCTCTTAATAATTTAACTACGTATATGTGAGGCTAAAATAAATTTTTTTTTTTTTACTAATATATGAACTGAAAAAGTGGAACAGTAAGTATTAAAGAATTGTCGAATAATCCAATCGCATATCTATTTTAGATAAATAAATTATTTGCACAATAATTATAATATGCTAAAAATTAATTTTCATAGATTAATGAAATCTTAGATTTATAGTTATGTACATCTAACATATGTAGCAAAATTGTTTTCTGAAAACGCGATTCCAAAATGTGAAAGGTGAAAATGATTTACCATTCATCATCACCTAAATTTTCAATTGACAAGTCTTTTTTTTATAAATTTCAAAACGACAATGTTAATAGAAATATTCCAGTGACAAAGATCTTTAGTCTTGCAAACACACACCAAACGCTAAAAGATTCAAATCCAATTTTCTTAAGAGAGAAAAGGAAGAAAACAAATGATATCCTTCAAAGCTTTGAAAGTAAACCAGTCTGAAGAGGCTTCGGTGCTACAACCTCTTTGACTTCACTGTCCTTTGTCTCCAACTCGCATGGATTCGGTGGCACATCTACGGCCGGTGAGCAGTTGAAAAATCCATGTGGCTGTGTTTTACCCAAAACCCAAAACATTTTTTAACCAATCTTTTGTAACGTTTTTTCATTGAAAGTTACAGTCAAAGATCTAACTTACCATTAGAGTGAAACCAATATGTTCGACGGGCATAACCGGCCAATCTTCAAGTCTCGGAACATGTGTGATCCCAAACACGTACCTGGTGACAAATGAAAATTCCACATTGAAGTCACAAAATTTGGTAAATAGTAGTTTTTAACTGAATCAGATAAGTAAAACAAGGATACAGACCAAAGAACGACGTCGGATTCTTCCAAGGAGCGATTCTGTTTAACCCATGTGGCAAGACCTTCACCAGCACGTGGGTTTTGGTTTGGGAATTCTCCTCCAGGAAACTTCTCGTCTGGGGCGTAACGGGTAACCCAGAGATTATGCTTCAGGAAAGCGGCTCTTCTTAGAAACTTAGCCTCTGGTCGAGCTAATGGCAAACAATTTGAACCCGGAACAAGTTTGTATCCCGTTAATTGGCCCGTCCTGTTTACAGTCCTTGTGTTCCTTACCTGATAACACATTACAATGATTTGTGTTGAATATACATCTTGCATAAGTATACCATCTATACTTCAGCTGCAAATCATATTCAATGAAACTCTGAGATGATTTTTTTGGTAAAGAAACTCAAGTATGAGACAATATAAAGACATGACAGAAACTTAGGGATGGTCAGGTGATCTCTTATCCCAAATCCAGTCGAGGATGAGACTAGTAGATAGTCAAGGATGAAAGAATTATAAGTGATGCCAGAAACAAGGATAGTACAAAGACGGGAACGATCATTGACTATATGACAATGTGAACGTTAAACATGCAATAAATTAATGCTTTCAGATGAGAAGTTGAAAAAGGTACAAAGACGGGAACGATCATTGACTATATGACAATGTGAAAGTTAAACATGCAATAAATGGACGAGAACATGTAAAGTAGGATTGCTTACAATCCAATGGCGAGCAGAAAGAGGGTCACAGTCACGCATCGCCACTGCCTCAGATCTAAGTAACTTCTCTTCCGCATAAAACGCATTGCTGTGGACATTGTTCTCACCTGGCTCGTCAACTCTAACATTTACCTCAACTACCTACAGATAAAAGTGGATTAAGCTGACTATTGAGCAAAACCACCTGACAACATGTATCTAAGATCTTTTTTCAAGAACTATAGGGACTTCTAAAATTCATATGCTACCAATGCCATCCCTAAAAACTGAGAAAATAATCCGCATATGTATGTAAACAACAAAAAGAAGAGCAGCAAGGTAAAGAAGGTACCTGATTAAAAGCTTCACCAGGTTTACAGTCAACAGACATATCCATGCGAGCGATAAAGAAATGTTGATGGACTGGTGCATACAACCCAGGAGCAATAGTAGTACCATACTTTCGAGTTTCACCTGGCTGCAGAGCTCCTAAACTGAGGATACCAGTAAGTTTTACTTCGGCTTCGATTTTCCCATCCTACAGTAAGACATTCAAGACATAAAATGATATTGGTCTTCAAATATCTAGAAAGATGAAACTACAAATCAGAAAAACAAATGAAACTCGGATTCAGCACTGTAAATCAATGTCCTCAAGTGAAAAATCACAAGCAAAGTGTCAAGGCTTAAAAAGTATGAGCTGCCGTTCTAAACTCAGGATTTATTCTCATGCAAAGATTATCATTTGTCTTCCCTATAGAAATTAGATGCAAATATGACTAATATCTGCTTTTACTCTAGAAATGAATAATCACGTATTCCACTTACCTGGTAGAAGTGCCAGTAAAACCCATACTCGTAGTTAGCAACAGTACATAGAAAAGAGACAGTTAGCCTCCTAGATCTTCGCACTTCAGCTAATCCTGTTCTCCAGTCCTGATGTTTCCACAAAATCCCATGATCTTCTTCATGCAAACAAACACAGTTCTCAATTGTTTCAACTCCTCCAGTGAAATTTGTGAAATGGGCATCGAAGTACTTGATAGATCCCAGACAGTCACACCCCTATAAAAACCGATTGTTAAACACAAACTGAGAACTGATTGGTGAGAACACCAAAAAAAAACTGATTTCAAACCTTCTTAAGTGAATGTGCGTTTTTCCCGAGACCATCCTCCCCTGCATCAAAAGCATTTTTCCTGTAATGTGGCTCATTTGGATCGCCATAAGGCACAACCATCTCCACAAAACTTAGCCTATGTGCAACAGGCCTTCGACCTCGACTGCCATCAACATATGCTACCGAATGTATGACTAAACCTTCTCTTGGAGTGAACCCAATACGAAAGTTCCACTGTGAACAAAATGTTGGGCCAATTTAGAAATAAGATAAAGCATAATCACTTGGTTTTAAGTAGGCTATTACTGGAAATCTACCTTCTGCCACTCGACAAAGTAACCCCTTACACGAAAACTTGGACCTTCAGGCTGAATAATTTGGAGAGGCTTAACATCACTTCTATCAACACCCCCTCTACTTTCACCTGGGGTATAATTCCTCAATGGGTCAGGTGGGGGGAGTGGCACAAACTTACGGTCTTCAAACTCAATCACCACCATGTTTTGCATGTCTACAAGTACATAAATTCCCTCAACTGGACGAGCATAGCCATTTTCCATAGGGGAATCACTATCAGTCCGACAGTATATAAGGGGCTTTGCAAGCCTACGACTAGGAGCGTCAGCTTCACTGTGATAACCCACACACCTGCACAATACATTAATGTGTAGGCTCAGAGAAAAAGTACACCTTAATTGTCAACTTTCAGCAGAAACCATGATGTTGTTAACATACCAGGGATCAACCATCACTAGATCCATGTCTTCAATACCTCTCCTCTTCATTGCCTCTATGAATGGTGGGAAGTCTTTGACAATCGCTTCACATTCAGCATATTCAGCCGCATCCTAAAATCAAAAGAGTCTAAACTGAGAGACTGGCAAACAACGGTAGCATCTAAAAGTCACTTAGAAATCCAATTCCTTAAAACATACCATGGGTGGCTGAACATCAGGTATAACTTGTGAGGAAACAACTCTTCCCCTGTGATGGCCCCCCCGAGTGACAGCATGAACTTCAGACAACTCCACAATCCATACACTTGTCTCATTGGACTTTTGGTTGTAAACAACAAGTCTTGCTCGCCTTGGAGGGAGCTTCATCGGAATCACAGGTCCAGATTTAGTTCTTGGAAGTAGTGATGGCTGGAACGGTGGGAAAAAGTAAGCATCAGCCAGCGCCACAACTTGTTTATCTGGTTCCACTGATGCCACCTCAATGAAACGCATGCCATCCCTAACCTGCCAAAGAAAATACCAAACAATTTCAGTGAAATCCAATTAGTTGATCAAAGTGATGACAATGTTATCAGCATTCCCGCACCTCAGGGTTGGCACCAGCCGCGCGAACAGTTGCCACAGCAACTGATATTTCTGCAGCAGATAGAGGATCCAATGGGTGCTTGGTTTCAGTCCTTGGCATCACAGAAATACCTGCATTGGTACAAATTGTGATCACAATAGAAATCAACTTCAAAGAAACCACGATCACAATTAGATCTCAATTTAAACATGTCTAAGTGTAACAAAGAAGCCATCAAGAACTAGTAGCAGCAGACAACAAATTCCGGTGACCAAGAACTCAAGTAATTCAAACAAATCGCGAGCTAAGATCAGAACAATGATCGACGAGCAACCACAGGAGCACAAATCCAAAGGAAGAGCGTTAGATTACCTTTGTTGGCAGGTTTCTTGGCGGTATCAGGAAGCGAATCGACAGGGCGGATAACGGATTCCAAAACAACCTTAGAGGCTCGCTGATCGTCACCGTCGGACCATACAGCAACCGTATCGGGAGCAGCGGAGACGAGTTTCGGAGGCGAAACAGAGCCACCGTGGTGAGGACATGCCGTCGTCTTTTTCGAAGCTGAGGCCATTGAATAGGGTTCACAAGTTCTCCAAATCCACCAAAATCAGTTTCAACACAATCTACTGACATACAGCAAAACCTATCACTATCCGTCGCTTGATCTTCCCCCTTCTCTCCACTTCTACAAGCTCCAAGAAGAAGAAGAAGAAGAAGAAGAAGAAGAAGATCTCCGATGATGACACAAAAATCCACAGCTACTACTACTACTGTCGTCTCTCGACTTGAGCTCCGTCACAAGAAGTTGGATTCGTCACCGGATCTTGAGTTCTCTGTGATCGCGTACTACTAGTGCTGATTCAATTTGTTTTTTTTTTTTTTTTTTTTGAGGAGTTTGATTTTTGGTTGATGAGTCCAAAGCAGAAGCGGCCAAAGCCTATTAGTTGGGCTCTTCTACTTTTTAACAAGTACGTATTTTATAAAAGGTGTAGTTATTTGTTTTAGAAAGAAATCCAACTTGGATAACGACGTGGATGCACTATTGTTCATGAGTTTCTCAATTTGTAATTTACTAATTGGTAATGTATTATATTTGTCTAATTTGATTCAAACATATTTTCTATTTAAAGTTTTTTTTCATTAAAAATGGATAAAATTGGAAATAAAAATAAAAGGTAAGGAAAATACTGGAAGTTCTTATATATCTAAGGAAGGTAAAGTATATAGGATCATCAAGAAAAATGTGAGCTGGTGATAGAATTGGAAAAATATGACAATTGACTACATAAGGTTATATGTCATTATCCGAAAATTTATTTCAAAAATCAGAAAATTGGGAAAAAAATAACAAAAAAAATATGAATTATATGTTTTGTTAAATAAAGCTTCACGTGTTTCACCAAAATTCTACACGTATTATTTTCTTATGCTGTTATTGGACACTACAGTATTTTAAGAAATAAGCAAAATGGAAGCATAGCCAAAAAAATTGAATACAACCAAAAATAGTCTTATTAACTTGAGTTTGAGGTGGAACATTTCTTTGTTCATTTGAAAAACGTATAATTTGATTGAAGACCATCTTAAAATAAAATAAAAATTGCTAAAATAAGATCGAAAAATGTTATCAATGTGAAAGGAACATTTTAACGTACTAAGAAGAAAATCAATTTTTGAACTTGGAAGATTATGATCATGAATGATGAAACAATGTAGGCTGCTTATTTTTTCTTACAAATGGGATTGCTATATGTTTTGTCCCCGAAACAAATGTTAACCTTAAAATCCTATAAAAATAAGAAATTGAACGGGTACATAATATATGGGATCTAGATCAGTTAATTAGTTTATTTGATTTCTTTACAAATATAATATATATATTGACAAATGTTACTGTCTATTATGCTTTGGTGAAAAACGAATCGGTGACGTTTATCACACAGAAATTACAAGAAACTTTTAAAAATTACAGAAGTTCCTTATCAAAGTGATTTGACTTTTTATATTACATCAAACAAAAAAATTTGTTATGGTTTTAAGATTGTAAAATATAAATATAGTACATGATATATAAAAAACTACATAAATTTATATATATATATATAGTTGCAATAATTAATAATATATCATATAGATCGTGGAGTGGACCATGCAATATCGACCACCAAAGAACCACTGTCTACGACTACAACTAAGTGGTATTACGAGGCTCACATTATTTACGAAATTCACAAAAATTAAAAAAAAAAACTCTTAATTCTTCCATGACTCCATAATCCTTACATCGACACTTTAACGTCTGCACAGTTTATCTATTATTGTCCCCGGTGGGAATACACGTCATGTTAACGTACTATTGAATTCTAACTTGTTTTCTAGTCTTTGGTTTGTTTTTTCATTTCTTCTGAAACCTTCAATGGTCGGCAAAACGTTTAGAATTCCAACAAAATACTCTTCTCTTTTGATGAATGAATACATAAGATTTTGGTCTAACGCATTGTTCTCAACTATATTACTTCTTTTATTCTTGTTTATTTTGTCACTTAACATTGATAACAAAAAAAAGAAGATATATTTCGTCATTATGTGTTTTCCTCTTTGGATTACTGTGGATTTGCCCTTGTATCTTCCATATGCTTTTGGTAAGATTATCAAACTCATACTCTCTGCAGGTTATGTGATAGAAGAAACAAAACACCAATTCTTTATTGATCAAAGAAGAATTACAAGAAGAGTCCCGAGATAGTAGATTGTGTTCCCTTTACAAACAACCGCTAACCTTTTACTTCCTGTAGCAACTTTGTGTTTAGACTGGATTACGACTCTATACATTAAGTTATACAATAGTAGATTGAGTTCCCTTTACATATAACCTTTAACCTTCTACTCCTATAGCAACTTTGTATTTAGACTGGATTACGACTCTATACATTAAGTTATACAACTCAAAACACTTCTCTATCCAATCCAACTCAGGAGCTTTCTCATTGACCAGCAGGAGCTCAGCTTATTCTTCATTTAGTGGTCTATCAATTTGCTCCTCCTGGACTGTACTGAGTCTCAATATTGCTCTTTGCTTATCTGATTCTCAATGCAATAGCCACGAGTACCACTAAGCCTTGAATGGCGTTGCAATCGGAATAGTAGTCAAGAGAAGGCATAGTCAGACTTGTTCTTCAATTTTCTCTTACATTATTAACATGTAGTTAACATTTTGAGAAGCTGATCTGATGCATTCAGTAACTATAGTTATTATATCAAGCTTTCAAAAACAAATAAACAGAACAATTTCAAGGTTTCATTCAAAAATCAGAGAGGTTCAAGAACGAATTACGTGAAATAAAATTAGAAGATCTCTCACATAAAAACACATTCTGATGCAGAAGAGAGAAGAAGAAGCTAATAACATCAACAAAACAATGTCCATAATGGGTATCTTTTTTTCTTTTCTTGGTTATAGAGGAAGATAAGAGAGCCTTCTTCGCCTATAATACACACTATATTCCGGTGGTGGCACTAAGTTGAATTTTAAACAGAGCAACCTGAACACAATGCATAGAAACCAGAAATCTCGAGTTACCAACTGTGACTTTTCACTTGTGGGTGCCTGCAGCTGCTGATTGAGATGAGTCTGTGTCCAGTGATCACAGAAAATAGTCTGGAGTCCTTCGGGTGACATCTGGTTCTCCTCTCCTCGGTGCTGGTTCAAACTGCACTCACATTTTCATATACTCAAGTTAGCTTTGGTCATTCTTCTACACTATTTTCATTTGCAGACACGATAAGACATGTGGGATTTGAGGAAAGACCTGAATGAAGGTGTGGTTCCTGCAGTCGTCGACCTCAAGAATCGAGGCCATGTTCCCACAACGATAACAATAGTTTGGTGCACTGAAAATAGTTACCACTTTTTGCTCCTGTTTGATAGGGAAGACAAAAAAATGAGCTAAGAATCTTAAGCCTTGCAAAGCAATGAAAAGAAGGGTTTATAGTTGCATTATTACGTGAGCCCAGTTGTATCCATCCATAACCAACTGGTGAGCTCGGGCGATCAGCTTTAAGTTGTTTGTGTGATTGAATTGTTCGGATATATCCTAGGAAACAAAATGAAAAAGAGAAAAGTCAATTAGACACTTGCTCTAAAAAGAGCGAATCAGAACTGTTTCTGAGGCGTAAGACTTGTAATTACCTGACCAAACGTATATCCGGCACCTCGAGGAGAGATGCCCCAACCACATCGGTCATCGGGGTCAGACCATAATAAGTCACACATTGGCCCTTCATGGGGCACTTCTTGAACTCGATCAAAATTCCTTATGTTGTCAAGGGTCTCGATAGATGGAGATAATCCACCATGAAGGCAAAATATTTCTGACTCAACCTGCAAAGGAATAACATAAAGATTTTATGATACCCAAAAATTTGTGTAGAAAACACCAACGATTTAGTCAGATAAGGCATACATGAAATCTTCCATATATTAAAGATCTCCATTCTTTGCATTTTTCAGAATACTAACGTCTTGCAATTGATGTGACACTAGCAAAAGAAATACGACAGCACAGTACAAAAGCAATACTTTAGTTCCAAATAATATTGCCAGCACACGACAAAGAACTGATCATCTATATTAATTGACTACCGGACTAGGATAAACTCATGTGAACCCCCACTAACAAAAAAAAAAAGGAAGAAAAGTGTGAGACATGTATGATAGGTACTAACCAAGGCTGTCAGAGGAAAATAGTCGAAGAGGTCGGTAAAGATTTTCCAAACATTTGCGTTGCCGTACCTAAAAAGAAGAAAACAGGGTTTGTTGAACAAATTGCAAAATCTATATCCCAAATAAGCTGGTAATTGCAACAAATAAGCTGCAAACTAGGATGTGTAAGATAATACAATATAGAACAATACTATAAGCAAGCAATCAAAAGCCTGAAGGATTAACAGAAACAGGGACTAAAGAAAGAAAAGACAATTTTGACAAACTACCATACACACATACATAGCAACAGCAAAAAATAAGGACAACAGTGATGCTAATAATAATTCAAAAAATCGCTTGCATGCAATTAGCAGCATCTACAAAATAAGGATTTTTCCAGGAGACTCACTTTCGCAGACATTCATCATAAAATCCATAAACCTGAGTAATCTGCGAGATGGAAGCAAAAGAAGAAAAGCCTGTGTCAGATAAAAAAAGTAGGATGAGAGAAGTATTAACCAACAAAAGAATGAATCTTGTGGACAAAAACAGAGACTTATAAATAAAAAAAATTGTGTGTCAACCAAGAGCTCAACGATGGAAAAGACAACACAATGTACTACTGTATTTAAGATCAGAAGGTGAATTTACATGTGAAAACAGAGTAATGAAATCTTAAAGCATTAGTCTACCTGACGACTTTCATGGTTTCCTCTAAGAATAGTGATTCGCTGAGGATATCGCATCTTTAAGGCGACTAACAGCTGAAAAGAGAAACATTATCAACATACTTCATATTCTGACACAAAATATTTACATTGTAAAGAAAAAAATATCCATCATGCAAATGGTATCTTGTTACCAATATAAAAAGACAAGGACTGGCTTGCCAATCAGCCTACTCTTAAATGAAAATAAAGGAAGACTGAATATTTCATCCTCGTACCGTAACAGTTTCAACAGAATAATAACCGCGGTCCACATAGTCTCCCATAAACAGATAATTGGTATCAGGGCACTGCAAAAAGAGAAAATTAATACTTTGTAAGATTTGTAGAGCTACTCATATACAAAAATAAGACTAGCGTCAATTGTGATTCTCAGTAAATTTTATAGATGTTACCATTCCCCCTATACGGAAAAGCTCAGCAAGATCATGGAACTGTCCATGAATATCACCGCAAATTGTCACAGGGCTTTTCACAGGCTACATGCAGGAAATAGAAAGAGTTAATAAATTCATGGCTAGTAGCACAATCTACCACACTGAAAATATAATCGCCAAATGTGGTACAAGAATTACTCAACCAAAGAGATATACAAGACCAAGAACTAACCTGAACGTTGCTTTCATCCATTAAGATCTCCTTGGCTTTCTCGCATAATGCTCGAACCTAAGGAAAATAAAACAATGCTGCATATGATATTCACCTCTTTAACACTCTCAAGAGATACAGATAATAATCACTATCAAACACATGAAAATGAAAATATATAGTTAGAGAAATCAACTTGACACAGGCAGCAAACAGAAAAATCAATTACAAACAGAAAAAAAAAAAAAAAAACCCTAAAAGTAATGATCAGGTATTGCCTGATAACAGCTACTAATGCAGCTTACTGATGCGAAAAGATGAAAAATTTATCATCGACATCAAATCACCAGCTCCATAGAAAAAAATCAGTCCACAAGAATCCCGATTGACATTACCAGGCACATAAAAACACGAGCTTAGATGTGAAAATCACTCTATGCTAAGAATCCGATGCAGCCAAATTTCATCATCAAACCATAGAAGCAAAGCCAATTCTCCAACCCATAAAACTGCGGTGAAAATGAACTTCCGTGAGAACATAAATGCCAAGATCTTAACATTTCGTTCATTTCAAAAAAAAAAAAAACGAAACTTTCAAATCAAATCTGATAGTCTCGTACCCGAAGAAACCTAAAACACAGAAATAAATACCATTCCACTCAAAAAAGCAAAAAACAGATCTAATCATCGATAAAAACAAAGTAGAGAAAACGTCAAAGGCTAAGGTCTAAAGAGAAAGTTGCAGGCACCTGTTGCTCCGAGAGGGGCTTGCACTGCATAAGCTGCGAGATCTGCTCATCGAGATCAATGGTTGCGTCCGTCGGAATAGAATTCGCGCCCATTTTCGTTACTTCGTCTCTCCTCTCGTCCGATCCGGATAACAGATCAGGAAACAGGACTAGGTTTCCAAATTAGGGGAAGCCCTAACCCTAAATTGGATGGAATCTGCGTATTCTTCGCCTTTCTCTCTCTCCCTCTCTCTCTTCTCTGTCTCTTCGCTTTGTGTGCAGTGAAAGAAGATCGAATTTTGAGAAGGCGCGTGAGGAGAGAAGCGAGTGGTGTATAGCTTTCGAGCTCTTTCCTTTATATTACCATAATACCCCTTTGATTTAATTGGTGTAATAACCGTTACCGGTTAAATGCTGAATTTTTTGGTTTAACTAAACCGGTTTCAGCTTATTTAATCGTTTCGAGAGAGGAAAGTGTTTCTTTCCTTTTACCTTCGCTTCTTCATAAAGCTCTCTCTCTAGTCTCTAATCTCTCGCAGTCTCGCTCTCTCTTTTTTATCTCTCTTCGGCTCTCCGTGATGACGACGAGATTTGGGTCGGAGAAAACTTCGATTTCTCGGGATGAATTTGCAGAAGACTCGCTAAAGATCGTTTCTTTGCCGCCGGTAGAGAACGACGACTCTGTTGAAGAGATGATAAGCCCAAAGAAGCAAGTAAAGTCTTCGTCTTTCACTTCTGGTTGTGAGAAGGATGGAGAAATCATCCATTCGGATTCTATTGAAGTTTCTTTCTCAGAAACGAGTCTTGAAGAAACCGTGGCGATGAATGTGGAGTGTCCTGGAGTAGTCTCTGTACCTGAAACTAGTTCAACGTTTCTTGAAGAGAACAAGGTTGGTGAGGAACTGAAACAGATCAAGGAAATATCTGAGATTTCTACAGAAGATGATGTGCTCAAGATAGAGGATTTTGTTGAGACTGATGGGTGCGTCGTTTTTATCTCTGATATGAAAGAAAGTTTGAACTCGGAGAAGAAGGGACAAGATTTTGATGGTCAGAGGACTATGGAGAAGAGAAGATTGTTGGCTGAAATCGAAGATGGTTCCACGTTTCTTGAAGAGAATAAGGAACTGCAACAGATTAAAGAAATCTCTGAAATTTCTACAGAAGGGGATCAATTCAGAGATGATGTGCACAAGATAGAGGATGTTGTTAAGACTAATGGGTGCGTCGTCTCTATCTCTGATATGAAAGAAAGTTTGAACTCTCAGAAGAAGGGACAAGATTCTGATGCTCAGATACTTTTGGAGTCTGAGAAGAAAAGATTGTTGGCTGAAATCGGAGATGGGTCAATCTTCAAGAAGAAGGATGATGTGGACACGCTCGCTAGGGCTTCTGATATCCATAAGATTGAAAAGAATGGAAATGGGTCTAAAGATCAGCGTGAGAAGGTGGAAAGAGTGAGAGTTAAGGATAATGCTTTTGTTGGAAGATCTGTGAATATCGATTTGGTTGATGATACTGCGTTGTTTGATGTTGTTCCTTTCTACAAGAAAGGTAAAGATCATCCTAAGAGACCAGGAACTGATAAGGATGCACCAAAAAAGCATAAGAAAGTTGGTGGAGAGAAACCTATTGATAGGGGAAATGCTTCTAGCATTGTTGAAAGGAGTGCATCAACTAAAGTTTCTGACTTTCGTAACCGTGGAGAAATGAGTGGGAAGCAGTTGCGGATAATGTATTCTAGGAACCAAATGGAGTTGATGAGGTATGCCCACATTGCGAATCAGAAGAAGCTGTGGAGTGACTTGTATGCTAAGCTCCTACCTGAGCTTGTGACAGAGTACGAAGGTTTGAAGAATCACAGGAGGGAGAGTGGCATCAGTATCCTAGGTAACCCTCCACTTACTTTACTTTTATCTTATCTGCTGCATTTTTTGTTGTTGCCTGTTGTTAGTTTAACATGTTGAGGAAAAGTTTTGGTCTAAAAGAAATATGTCACTCCAAGTTTAGATTACTTAGCTCATGTATAACCTTAAGCTATATCTGGTGCATTTTTGTTTGTGTATGTCTCTTTATCCGCCCATACTCAAATGGTTTTTTCTTTGCTACGGTTTTATGGTGTTTTCTTTCTTAAATGGTCATCTCAAAGACAAATCCATTCGGGTTTAGTGTCTGCGAATACTCTTTCAGCAGTGGTTGTTCCCAAGTATCTTTATTTAAACCACTGCAATGTTTTTAATCCTCTCTAGCCTTTTTGACGATTTTGGTGTCTGTTATTTCTGATTGAGAGCTCTTATCTTGTTTCCTGATCTGTTCTTCATTCTCTCCTCCGTTCCAGTAAAATGTCGTTTTGATAGGGGCCTTTTATTATCTCTTCCACAGGTCCCATATCGGCTGTACCAAGGCGAAACCGTATCTTTGTACATTGACCTGAAGAAATCTGTCGAAGCCTTTGTTTCATAAATCTGTCAAAGTCCTGTGTTCACCAATTTTTCCTTTTCTAAGAAACAATACATTCTTTCTGTATATAGATTCTTTGGTTCAGATTGTAAAAGGGGTAGAGAGAGGTTCTTTGGTTCAAAGTGTGTATGGCCATGATTTTTTCGGCTAAACAATTGTACATGTTCATACATCTTCAATAAAATCAAGACCTTTGAAAGTTAAAATCTTTTTGATGGCCTTAGTTCTTTTCTGTTTTGAAGCAAGGTTGTTTTTATTGGTTCTTCAATAAAATCAACACTGAGATTCCAAAAAATGTGACTTTTTGTTTCTTCATGAGAACATTTAGGCACCAAAGAAGGAATGGATGACTTAACTCATGAAGAAGACTATGTTGTAAAAGCGAAGAACACTGAAGATAATGACGATTACAATAGCATTTTGAGGCCTGCGTTTGCCGTGGATGGAGAACCTGATTTCGATTCTGGACCACCAGAAGATGGGCTTGAATATTTAAGACGAGTCAGGTATATTTGTCACTCTGTTTCAATCTTTCTGTGTATCTGCATTTTGGCATGTATGGTTAAGTTGTTTCCACAATTTAGGTGGGAGGCTAAGCGAATTCCAAAAGTAAAAGTAGCCAAGGTAAATGGAAGCAAGTACAGAGAGAAAGAGCAAAGTGTTTACATGCCACAAATTTCTGAAATCCCCAAATGCCCAGAGCACCTGCTGCCGGTGAAGGAATGGGAGGAGTCGTTGCTTTCCGACTTCTCACACATTCGGCTGGTATTCCTTTCTTCTAACTTGCATACTACCAGTGTTTCTCTTAATGGACAAGATATGAATGGAAGTTTTTATTATGGGTTTTTCACAGGCTTTATCACAAAATGGCAGCGAGTCTTTAGAAGATGTGCTCATGGAGATATTCAATAAGCGTCTCCACTCAGACAGTGATGAGTCATTTGGTGGGGTGGTTTCAGAGATACAAGGAATGGACTCAGTGACGCGGGTCTCAAAGCTGAGAAAGCGGATATGTTTGGTTGAGAAGGAGAGCGGTTTAGAGAGTAGTGACTGCAAATGGGTAGTAGCATTATGTGCATCAGTGGACACTCCTTTGGATGCTGATACTTGTGCTTGTCTCAGAGCTCTTGTGAGAAAGTGTGCGAGTCTTCGCGCGTTAGAGGTTGAAGATGAACAAGTTATCACCATGGCAAATATGCTCATCACCATCGCAGGCAGATACTTTGGCCAAATGGAATGAGAGAAGAAGTGAGGTTTTAAAATTAAATTAAAAACTAAAAAAAAAAAGAGAGTCCAAAATAAGTCGCCGACATACAGTCTAGAACGATAAAACCAAACCAATAATCCTATCAGACCAAAGATTGATAAAAACGGGACGCAATCTGTTTTGATAAGAGGACGAAAGAAAGAAGAAGAACAAAAGTCAAAAATATATCTCCTCCACACCTCTCTTTCTCTCTATTGATTCTATCGCTCTCTTTCTCTGTCCGACGATACCAAAAGGTAATTCAAAGGAATTTTAGGGTTTACCGTTGATTTCTTCGATTCGATTTTGGAACGTGTTTTGAGGATTCTTCTATCTCTGGGTTTTCGCTTATTGAATTCGAGCTGTAACTAGGGTTATCTGCTACTCTTTTTTGCAAATTTTGATATTTTTTATTCCCTTTTGAGGTAAACATTGTTCTTCTCTTTGCGTGATTCTATTGGCATTTGTGTTGCTATAATATTCGTTTGATTATATGCTCTTCTCCGAAGACTGGACTTTTGTTATTCGTTGGATTCGATTATGAATATATTTTTGAGGTTTTGGTTGTGCGTCGTTATTTAAAGCTGTTCCCAGCTGCTTGCTATTGATATGCGTAGATTGCTATTGTTCTAACTCAAACCCATCTTGTAATTTTCCAGGATTTTCTTTTCTATTGACGATTATAAAGTAAAAAGAGCAGCTTTGAGAATTTGATTGTTGATATCCAAGGATTTGGAAGCTAGTTTTGGTTTTAGGACGTTATCCTTTTCGATTATGAGTGCATCATGGGCTGATGTGGCTGACTCAGAGAACACGGGTTCTGGGTCTTTTAATCAGAATTCTCATCCCTCACGACCTGCTTATGTTCCTCCACATCTAAGGAACAGGCCTGCAACTTCTGAGCCTGTTGCTCCTTTGCCAGCTAATGATCGTGTAGGCTTTGGTGGTCCACCTTCTGCCTCTCGATGGGCTCCTGGTGGTAGTTCTGTTGGTGTTGGTGGTGGTTATAGGGCTGATGCAGGTCGCCCTGGCTCTGGCTCTGGCTATGGTGGACGAGGAGGTGGTGGTTGGAACAACAGAAGCGGAGGCTGGGACCGTAGGGAACGTGAAGTAAACCCCTTTGATAATGATGATTCCGAACCAGAACCAGCCTTTTCTGAGCAGGATAATACCGTCATTAATTTTGACGCCTATGAAGATATTCCAATTGAGACCAGTGGGGATAATGTGCCTCCTCCTGTTAACACATTCGCAGAGATAGATCTCGGGGAGGCCTTGAATCTAAATATCCGTAGATGCAAATATGTTAAGCCAACACCTGTACAGCGTCATGCGATCCCGATATTGCTTGAAGGGAGGGATTTGATGGCCTGTGCTCAGACAGGGTCTGGGAAGACAGCTGCTTTTTGCTTTCCAATTATTAGTGGGATAATGAAAGATCAGCATGTACAGAGACCCCGTGGTTCACGAACAGTCTACCCTCTTGCAGTTATTCTCTCACCAACAAGAGAGTTGGCAAGTCAGGTTGGGGTTCTCTTCCGATGTCAAGATTCTATTAGCTTTCGTAGAAGTTAGTTTGTCATATCTTGTTCTATGATTTTTGGCAGATACATGATGAGGCTAAAAAGTTCTCCTACCAAACTGGTGTGAAGGTGGTTGTTGCATATGGAGGAACACCTATTAACCAGCAGGTATGTAATGAGCAAATACTTTGTTATTTTCTATCTTTTTTATTTCAGCTTTTGACTTCTGAGTTTTGTTTCATGCGTTTGTCACTGCTGTGTCGTCTCTTAGGCTGATTGTTTTGGGTTAAGCATGTTCGTTTCTAAGGCTATACAACTTAGTTAAAAGCACGTTTTGGTTTGGAGTCGGCATTTTTCTATTAAGAAGTATTTATCAATATATGACATGCTGAAGCATTGCTATATTTCGTACCTGTATCTATGTGTTACCTAATCTGTTTTCAAACTTCAACATGTTGATCTTGTGTCTTGTTGTTTGTGCAGCTCCGGGAACTTGAGAGGGGAGTCGATATTCTTGTGGCAACTCCTGGTCGATTAAATGATTTGCTCGAGAGAGCTAGAGTCTCTATGCAGATGATTAGATTTTTAGCTCTTGATGAGGCCGATAGAATGCTTGACATGGGTTTTGAACCACAAATTAGAAAGATTGTCGAACAAATGGACATGCCTCCACGTGGAGTTAGACAGACACTGTTGTTTAGTGCTACTTTTCCCAGAGAAATTCAGGTTGGTTTACTTGTCTGTAAATCACTTTTTCTTTAGTTACCTTCTCGTCGGTTGAAATATCATTTGTAGCGAACTTCTTCGCTTTCTGACTACTACCCCTTGCTCCGAATTTTCTATTTTTGTTTCTTTGCCATGTGTGTTGATTCTTGTGTTCCATACTTTTTCCTTGCAAATTATCTGCTTGTTACATTTTCTATGTTGGGCTTCAGTCGTAACACCCTTCTGTGTCCAGTTAAAGCCATTTGGTCCTCTGAAAACAAAAGGGGAAAGAGAAAATGTCCAACTGAAAACTGAAAGTGTATGTAAATAGTATATACGAAGCTATATGCATGGTTTCTGCAGAAATTATATCTTTTTGCAAAGCTGATTACATGACTTTTAGTCCTGCTATGATTCTAGCTAGCCTATGCATGGGAAAATTTATCCCTTTTTATGAAACGATGGTGAATGACATGGTATTGATAGTTCTGTGTCAGATGATTATATGTCACTTCATTAATGGATGATGGTGAACCTTTTAGGGCAAGCTTTAGATTGATTAAGTTTCATTCTTTTGTTTCCTGATTAAGCTGCATAATATAGAATGTTTCTGCGTTTGCATAATCATTTGCAAATTTTAAAAGATCATCCCTGTTTCCTGTGCAGAGACTGGCAGCTGACTTCCTAGCGAATTATATATTTTTGGCTGTGGGTAGAGTGGGTTCAAGTACCGATTTAATTGTCCAAAGGGTTGAGTTTGTCCTTGACTCTGACAAAAGAAGTCATCTCATGGACCTGCTTCACGCTCAGAGAGAGAATGGCATCCAAGGCAAGGTAAAACCGATACTCCTCTTTTGTTTTTAAGGAACCATCTGTTTTTTAGTTCATGATTTAATACCAAAATAGCTGGTCTTGTCTCAATATTTCGACATGCTCCTTGATACTTTCTGATTATTATATTCTTTCCATAATTTCAGCAAGCGCTGACCTTAGTTTTTGTGGAGACAAAGAGGGGAGCTGACTCTTTGGAAAATTGGTTGTGCATCAATGGGTTTCCAGCAACCTCCATTCACGGTGACAGAACACAACAGGTTTGTTATTCAATTTAAAGCTGAAAATGTTGCATGTTAATGTGGACATCAAAATCCAGTCGTACAAATTCAATATTGAGACCAAAGAGAAGATCTCGTGTTAGACTATAGTTCATTGCAACTAAAGCTTTAAACTAGAGTCAAAATCTGAAGGAAAAAACTATTGAAATTCACTCTTTGGTCATCATTATCAATAAGTGTTAGGAACTAAGTTGTTGTGTTGTCATATATGCATTGAAGGAAAGAGAAGTGGCACTGAAAGCCTTCAAGAGTGGGAGAACACCGATTTTGGTTGCAACCGATGTAGCAGCACGTGGCCTTGACATTCCCCACGTGGCTCATGTGGTCAACTTCGATTTACCAAATGACATTGATGACTATGTCCACCGTATTGGACGAACAGGACGTGCTGGCAAGTCAGGACTAGCAACTGCCTTCTTCAACGATGGCAACACCTCACTGGCCAGACCGCTCGCTGAGCTGATGCAAGAAGCTAACCAGGAAGTCCCTGCGTGGCTCACACGGTATGCATCACGGTCTTCTTTTGGTGGTGGTAAGAACCGGAGGTCTGGTGGTCGGTTTGGTGGCCGTGACTTTAGAAGGGAAGGGTCTTTCGGTAGAGGAGGTGGTGGAGGAGGAGGATATGGGGGCGGAGGAGGCTATGGTGGCGGAGGAGGATATGGTGGCGGAGGAGGCTATGGCGGTGGATATAGTGGTGCTCCAAGTGGAGGATATGGCGGAGAACCTCCAAGTGCTTGGGACTAAGCTCCCAATGTTTTTTTTTTTTTGTTTTGGTTATAACTTTTGACAAAAAAATTCTTCTACATTCACAAAGAGAGAGTATGTATTGCCCCTTACACCTATGAGATTTCTTCACTCAAGTGATGGATATATAACAATTGTTGATGTTTTAGGTGTTTTTAGGCGTTATTAGTAGGGGTAAGTCGTCAGTTTCACAATTTTTGTGTATCCAAATTTTTATCATGTTGTTGGTTTCTTATCAACTATACTTGTTAGTTCTGACTTCTGAATGACTAAAAAATTTCTCATGATATTATGCTTTGAAGGTTTCGTTTTCATATAACAGTCTTGATGAAATGGTCAATGTCTAAAAGGTATTCATACACAAGAGAGAAGAGACGATAGATATGAGTCTCACAAACCATTGTTCCTTCTTTACTATTGAGGATCAAAATGAGAGAGAAGATTTTTCCCGAATGCAACTCAGAAATGATCCAATACTAGTCTCCAAGATATTCACTAGGGGTAGGGGCAAAAGAAATGAGTCTAAAACCTTTGTTCTTTTTTTTACTATTGAGGATCAAAATGAGAGAGAAATGGGTTAACATGGACAAATCGTGTGGTCTCAAATTAAACTTTCTTGATGAGTCATGATGAGTGCATAGTTTTTTTTTTTTTTTTCTTTGACATCAATGAGTCCGTAGTTTCGGAGTGACTTCTAGTAGTCATATGGGATTGTATAGTTTAGAACTACTATGAATTTGTTAAATATATATTATTAATTTAAGAAAGAAATCGATAAAATGTTTTTGTCCTAAACTAAATTAACACTTTGAAACGGGTCCGACTATGCTAAGAACCAATTCCATAACGTCATTAATGCATAAGTATGGGGACTTAAATATGTTCCTTGCAGTCACTATATATAAGTATATTTTAATCATTTGATACGAATTTTGAAATGTGCTAGTGAAGTTCATTTCAAATGGTGAAAAGGAAATTAAAACAAACTGATCTTATTTTTAAACTAGTGAATCAAAAGAAGTGGTTGAATCAGGGCTTTGTGGCATCCTTAGCCTCTCCTGCTTTACCCTCTACGAACTCAGCCGCCTTGTTTCCGGCATCTTTTCCTTTATCCGCCACATAATCCAAAGCTTTCTTAGCTTCCTCAGTCGCAGTTTCATTGGCTTCAATGGTTTTCTCAACAACGTAGTCTTTTGTTTTCTCACCATCCGCCAACGCCTCCTTTGTCTTATCCGTCACGAAATCAGAAGCTTTCTTTCTATATATATATATATAGTTAAGATTCATTATTGACCAGCGATTTTAAAACATATACCATCAAGACATGGAAATATGGAATCATCATGTTGGGTTCTCATATATTTGAGGAGCCTAGATTTAAACCTAACGAAAAAAACATAAGTAGTCATTTTAATAGCTTATAAAACATTAAACTATCTACAACAACACAATTTTCAAATTTAAAAAAATACAATAACGTGAATTTATATATTTGTCCATATATTTTAAAGAAAACTACTTAAAAATACCTTTTCTTCTCTAATATATCTTTTCGAAGATTTTATCATATAGTTATTAAAGTAAAGTTCTTTTATAAAAGTAGATCGTATGTTTCAAATGGCAGCCATCAGCAGTGGCTCATTGTGGATAAAACGCAATCCTCTACAAGACCATTACAGTTGATTATGTATCAAAACTATTATCATGGGATTAACCAAAAATAAATAAAAAATTTATCATGGCGAGTACGTAATTTATATCGAGTAAACGTGTTGAAAGAAAAGAGAGAGACTCACGTGGCTTCGTTGAGGTCATCGAGGATGTTGCCGTCACCTTTAACGGCGTATATCAACGACTTCTTGCGCTGAGCAACGACGACGAACTCACTCTTCCGGCCAACTCCGACGGCACCAACACTGCTCTGCTTGGCTCCTACGTTGTGGAAAGAAGAACCCATGCCACTGAGAACAGCTCCTGATAAAGACATCGCCATGAGAGAGGATCTGTAAGATGTTTTTTGGGAGGAAATTTAACAACAGGAAGAGTTTTTAGATGGAGAAAGTGAGATGAGGAGCATATAATCTCCAATAGTATCGTTTTATAGATCTCTCGACCAATGAGAATCCAAAACTACACGTGTCAGTGCAAGATATTTTTGCGCATTGCTATTATCTCTAACTATTGTTGAATACGAAGAGTTTTTGTTCGTTCGTATTTAGCTACGTGTAATAATTTCTATGGTCACCAAAAGAAAAAAGAGGTCGGCCATCAAGTTTGTGGTGATAACCGTTATATACATGTTAGCATTTTTGGCAACCAAAATTTACATGTTAGCATTTCTGTTTTATTTGCAACTTTCAACATTAATAAGTAGACTCGATAGAGATATATGTAAAGGAAAAATGTATTAGTCGCTAAGCCGAAAACGTACAACTGTTTGTGTATCAGTATGTCTATTTAGCCATTTTTAGCAATTAGGTTAAAACAACTTGGGATTATTGTCTAAAATGTCCTTTTTAAAAAAAAACTTATGAAAATACCCTTTTTTTAATAGTTTACGGATTTTATCTTTTTTTTAACATTTAAAAATGTACGTATTTAGGATTTTTTTCTCAAAAATACGTACTTTATACCAAATACTAAACCCTAAGAACAAATGGAACCGACTAAACCCAAACATAACGAGTGAAACGCATGTTAAATCATATTTTTGGAGCATGAAAAATGGCAAAATCCACAAACTATTCAAAAAAGGGCAAAATCCACAAATACCATTATAAAAAAGGACAAAATCCGTAATTAATTCAAACAACTTTTAACATTTTATGG